AAAGTCTCGGCTTTAAGTCATTACTAGATCGCGTTCAAAGTACTAAATACCGTTTGCATTACCCCTGTTCTCAGACGGACAATGATGCCTGGATAAATTCGTCCAGCAACCAATTCGCCCAGAAACAAAACGAAGAGATGTATGTAGCAAGTGCCATTTCTAGAAACTCAGTTTAGAGTCGGGAAAGTGACTTGAAACTGACCAATCAGAATGCCTGATTCCTCAGTATTTCTTAAGTGAATCTTCGATTATGGAGAAACTTTTTCATGCTCGAATTCTACCTATCTATTGCACGAGGATCGCTTCAAAAGTGATACAATCGGGAAGCTGGTTTTGTCCGCTTCACTATGACATTATGCTTTTAGAAATCGACCGAGAAATGGCGGAGAAAAAGACCGAAAAGTGTTATTTCTAAAACGGCGAGTTTGGAGAGCTAAAGTGGATTGGGACTGCAAGAAAGCCGGCCAATCAGAATGCAGGATTTCTTTTGTGAAACTTGGAATTTCTAGAAATCGCATTTACCTTCTATTTCCTCAGTTTTCTCGCAATTTGGTCACTACAAAATGGAACCATCAGAAAGCTTTAGTTCCGAACATAACCATGGTCTTATTTATTTCGAAATCTGTCCACTAATAGCAAAGTTATAGACTAATAAATGCAATTTTTTAAACAGCCAGTTTAGAGCCAGAAAGTGGATTCAGACTGCAACAACGTTATGCAAATTAGCTAGACGTATCTAGGTTAGTAGCACACGTATGTGGGTTAGTAGGTTTTCTCTGTCAAGGCCGCGCATGTATCAATATATAAGCAGATCTCGGCCGTTTCGGCATACTTCATACAGGTATGAATCGTTACGTGTACTTTCACGGAATCCACACAGATTGAAAAATGTTTATACATATTTGATAATTTCCATTTACTAGTATTTAAGCTTCAATTCGTAATTATATTACAGCGGAAATATTACATTTTGCGTCTGAAAACCTACTTACTTCAACCTGAGACTAACATAAACAGATAAAAGGAATTTTAAACTTTATCCGAGAGTTGTATCTCCCGTGTTGCGCCACCCGCAATTAGATATGTATAGTCTCAGCTTTAACATAGGAGGAGGAAAAACATGTACATCATACAAACTTCATTAAAATACATACAGTTATAAACTCATAATTATAAAGAAATTCTTGAAAGCTTTATTGCAATTGCAAATCTGCAAAGAATACTTTATTTCGTGTATCTGGTTCCGTAATACTTGTCAAACTATATGCCTTCATGCACATTAGAGTGCCAAGAACGTTTTTATAGCGATCTACCACGGGCAATAGATTTACTACTAAGTTTTGTTTTTTCGTGGATAATGACAAATATTCTACCATTTCCCTTCCCATTTCCCAAGGAAAAATCTTTTTAACTGTGATCTTTCACAGATTTCATATCGCAAATAAACAGTATCGCATAATATAATCGACAATGTTTTGATTAAATATACTGGCCATACTAACTGACTAATAATTGATATATCTTGTTGATACTAGGTTCAGTCTATTTTCGTAATTAAAAATCAGTGATTTAAATGCTATACTTAATTTTGAATATTGCTTATCCAAAATAAATCGGTTGTCTCAGTGCATTTGAGATATCAAACATCAAACGTTCAATAGAAATAAAAATGTATTTCAAAGATCGTGTTTCAGTGTTAAGCGCAGTATTGATTATATTTAAGTATTGCACTACGCTGGAGCCTAGAAAGTATAAAATGACTTTTTAATTTAAACCAGCGTAAAATTGAATTTCGAATTATAATATTTGCTTGAGTTGTGTTAATAGACCTTCCAGGGCTGTTGTATTTGGGCGATAATAAAAAATAAATACTCTTAATAAAATTGACGCACGATACGGCAATTGCCGTATTATGCTTTAATAGTGCTGAGTTGCTAGACATGCGCGTTTGGAATTAAAATAAGACGATACGGAGATTGCAGTATCGTCGTTCAATTGCAATATGATACGGCAATTGAGCCCATCGTCTCTACTGTAATAGGACTTGGTATGACTAGAGAATGCTATATTGCAACAAACATGGAAATATAATTTTTTGAAGTTTATATTTGACAACCTCATTGTTATTTCAAAACTGTTTCTTGGTTATATATCACACTTATGAAATATATTTGGTTACATAAATCACCATTAATTCAAGAGTCATTTAGACAAAAATTTAAGTTTAGGGTTTGGTGATTCAAAAATATACAAAATTCTGAAGGTTTTTGTATAAAACCTGTATCAAAAGTGTTTGATGGCTCTGTACCTCACAAAAACATTGACATTCAAATCACCAAAATTTAACTGCAAGGATTTGATGATTAGAAAAATATACAAAAAAATCTGAAATTAGCTTTTAATTTTGAAATCACCATATATTAAGCAAAAAGTTGATTTAAATTGCATGAGTGTAATAACAAGAATTCTCAAGGGAAAGTATGTGCCACAAATTAGAAATGATCAAATAAGTTCATATTTTTTCATCTCTTTAATGTATATTTTCCCTAATTTATCATTGAAGTGTCAGATTTCTAGAAACCCAGCTATAAATATCAGTTTTATTCACCCCAGGGATTTAACTCTCTAATATAATGTTTCTCATATTTCACCCTCTAATATTTGAATAAAGTGGCTGATTTTCTTTCATTTCTGTATGATTTTGAATATGGACTACATGCTTTTGGTCTTTATTCCTTGATAATTCCTCTCTTTAAAGCTCTGTATTATATTTGGAAACACAACACCAGTTTTTTTATTCACTATAGCAATAATTTGGTATGAGCTGTAGTGCGAGCAAATTGTGTAATATATCGCAGAATAAGGTTTCCTGTAATACCACCTACATGAGTTAGTTAATTTGTCTACTAAGCCATGAACTGTTATGATCATGAAGACTATCCTGTATTTGTGTAGGGTCTAATCTCAATATCCTGAACTGACTGTCAAGAGATCTGCTGAAACCATTTATTTTTGAAAAATGAGCATTTGAGAATTTTAATATGTGGCCTAGAGAGGTTATTATGGACAATTTATTTGAAATGGCACTAAGTATGGGACATAGAAAGGTTATTAACAGCGATGAATAGGTTTTATCATGAAGGTTGATATACTTTCTCTAGAACGAGGATATCATATTATCCTGAAGGATAACAGGATAATATTGATATGCAATCCCATCATGAAAATCATGGCTTTCTCTCCATTCTTTTCTCGAAGGATATATAAGGGTTATATACTGGGAGGTTTTGGATATGGGGTTTATCCAGAGGGAGATATGCATATCTACCTGAGGGACCGAGGGTAGATGTGCATATCTCACGAGGGATGAACCCAATATCCAAACCGACCGTACATAACTGCTTTATCCTATACCAAGTAGAGTTTTCTAATTTTCTTTAAATTTTTTTCAATTTTTTTTATTTTTTCAATTTTTTCACATTTTTCAATTTTTTCTATTTTTTTCAATTTTTTATTTTTTTCAATTTTTTTTCATTTTTTCTTTTTTTCAATTTTTTCAAAATTGTTTTCGAAGCGGGAAGATATGCCCTGGAGCGGGAGATATGGCAGGCGATATGGAGGTTCAGGATATGGAAACCTCAAAATCAGGATACGGGATATATCTTACCAACTTATCTCCCTAAAACTCTACTTGGCATAGGATAATGCTATTTATGAAAACAGAAAGATGTCAGGATGATACAAGCTTGTCTATTTATTTAATATATAATGCCACCAGCGAGAAGTGTCAACATATTTTTATAACCAGTGTGTTGGGTCTGTTACAGTTACACTTTTGTCACCACCACAAGTGGTGGCATATTGTAGCATATTGTAGCTTTTTGTGGGCTGTGTTTGGTACATGTAGTTGGCATTCGACAGTTGGTGTTCGGAGTTCAGCATTTGTAACAAAAGGCAGGTGGTGACATTTTGCATGTTAATGCCTTTGTCTATAACTGTTAGACCTTTTAGAATTCTCCTTTTCGCGGTTCGCTCTTTGAATCAGAACGTTCGCAAATATGCACTGAAAAAGCACTTAAAAAGGACAAAATTTGATTGGTCAGTATTTTCCCACTATGCATTTTGCGTAGCTATTTGCGTGACACGAAAGTTCTAAATCAAACTAATTACTCAATTTTGTTTTTACACCGGCACGCTAAATAAAACAATGACACCATCGTAAGTATTCTTCTTTATCATTGCTTTAATAGTCAGTATACCGAGTTTAATCAATAAAAGATTGTACAATGAACAACAAAATTCGGAAACGAGTACTATAGATTTGCTTTCGGACCACTGAACAGATTGACCTATATAATAGCGACGCGTCTTCTTTGGTCTACTGCTCAGTTGTTTGTGGGTTTTCAACGTAACTCTATAATGTAATTTGAAGATGAATACTTTTATTCAGTTGTTGCATCGATGTCGCAGTTTGTAGTGCGGTAAGATTGGCATGAAAGTATTGAAAGTCGAATGGAATTGTTTTTTCCAATATGGCGACTAGTCTACTGATCACGTGACCTTCTCTTCCGGAATATTTTCTCACTTTTCGATCATCGTTTTTACCACGCTATGAATTAATACAATGAAAAAATAGCTGTTATATTAAGATTAATGAGAGATCAATCGTTTCTAATAATTTTTTCTGTACTCTCGTACGGGAATATGAACGAATATATCGTTTGAAAAATAGGTGTGAAAATCCCCATGTTAAACCTATGAGGGAAAATAAGGAAGTATAAATTTGTTCCTCCGCGAACTGCATCATGGGAAATATTTTGTCCTTATAAGGAAAGATTTTCGCGTCTTCTCTTTTGAAGAGGGAACAACGATTTCGAGAATTGAAATACCATATGTTCAATTGGATGAACTGTTTGTTGTATCAGAACATTGATAGAATCCACAGATAATCTGTTCACCTTTTTAACAGATGTATATGATTTATGCTTTTGTATTTGCAGAGCTATTGTTGACCAATATCTCCTGGAGAAGTCACGAATTGTCTCACAGGCCAAGGATGAAAGGTAAAAGTAAAATATTCATATGACACCTTCTTGTATATTGTAAACTTATAATGTTGAACCCTTACTAAATATATGCATGTAGCAATTGTAGCATGTAAAAAAGGATTACAAACATAGGAAACAATACTATAGTAATATATTTACAGTATATAAGAATCAATTGACAGATTCGATATTAATTGTTAATTGTTGCTATTGATTTATATAAAGAAGCCACTGTCAATCACTGTTATTCATATTTTTCGTCAAATGTTAAAGGCAACAATCCTTTCATAATAGACAAAGTGCATATTTTGGATAATTAATTTAAAAAATGGGTAAAAAGAAGGATGACTTCATTAAGATTTCATAAGGCAAAGCTTCTTCCAGGATTTTTGTGTCAATTAATTTGTGTTTTATTTTCATAGAAACTACCATGTGTTTTACTATCTTCTGGCTGGGGCCTCCGAGAGTGAGAAAGAAACTCTGTCACTTACTAAACCTGAGGATTATCACTATCTGAACCAGGTAAGGGCATTTCCCACAAAACAGGCTGTGGGTTTATTGGTGGAAGATCCACATACAACCATACAACAATATGTTCACTTGAACTTTTAATCCAAATTTTTATTTATTTTTGATTTTGTCTGAAAATAATTCTCTTCATGTAGAATGTTTTAGAATAGACTTGGCACAAAGTCCCTTTTCCTTCCTAGCCATTCAGCCATATATTCTGAATAAAAACGAAATGAGTTGGATACTTGGCAAATAGTTTTAAACATAGCATACATCTTTTAATATACATTCATTTGTCCCGTAAGGATTTAAATTAAGCATAAGCCAGTCCATTAAATGTATCTACCAGGCGTTATTTACTTCGTAGGAAGTGCAATGTTCTGAGGAAATCTTAACTTAATTGAACATAATTTTCTGTTAAAGACCCATTGATGAATGGATTCAGCCTAATTATCCCACCGAACGAAGTTCGAGGGGGATATAGAAAAGCCGTCCGTTCGTCCCTCCTTTCGTCCGTTCGTGTGTCCGGGCAATAACTCAAGTACCAGTTGACGGATTTCATTCAAATTTTATAGGCTTGTGCCTTATGGGTGTAGGACCTCTGCTCGAGAAGGAATTTTCAATATGGCCGCTAAATTCAAAATGGCGGCCATTTTTCATAAAAAAGATAATCTTTGATTACTCAAATACTAGTGGATGGTTTTGGTTCAAATTTTATTTGCTGTTCCCCAGGCACAAAGGAGCCTTTCTGAAGAAGACATTTTCAAGATGGCCACCATATTTCAAAATGGTGGCCATTTTTCGTAAAAAACTGTTATTTTTGATAACTCAAGTACCATTGAATGGATTTGGATCAAATTTTATATGCTGTTGCCTAGGTACAAAGGTTCTTGGTCAAGAAGACATTTTCAAGATGGCCACCATATTTCAAAATGGCAGCCATTTTTCGTAAAAAAATGTTATCTTTGATAACTCAAATACCAATAAATGGATTTGGTTCAAATTTTACATGCTGATGCTTAGGGACATAGGAGCTCTGTTCGAGAAGGGATTTTCAAGATGGCAGCTAAATTTCAAAATGGGCGCCATTTTTCCTAAAAAAATATAACCTTTGATAACTCAAGTACCAGTTGATGGATTTGGATTAAATTGTATATGCTGATGCCTTGGCACATAGGAGCTCTGCTAAAGAAGAAATCTAAAGATGACAGCTGAATTTCAAAATGGCAACCATGTTTCATGAAAACACAATCTTTGATAATTCAAATACCAGTGGATGGATTTGGCTCAAATTTTATATGGCCGCTATTTACCAAAACATGTTTTGTTCGGTGGGATTTGCTACTCCGTGAAGTTGCTGTTTTTCTAGTTAATGAATTATGATTTATTGTACTTAATTATTTATCTTCTAACAACTAATTTGTAGTCGATATTATGTTTTCTAATTAATAAGAAAGTTAGATTGAGTGATTTTGATATTGCAGAATGATTGTTACACGCTTGAGAACATTGATGGAGAAAACATGGATGAAGCTCATGAGTTTGCACGTCTGAAGCAATCTATGGAGATGGTCGGCTTCTCCACAGATATACAGAGACGACTGTTTGCGGTGTTGGCTGCTGTGTTGCATCTAGGCAATGTGGAGTACAAAAAGGTAAAATTGTGAAAGTGTGAAATTATAAGTGGTCCATCCTTCCTGAGGTATCATTGAACAACATCAGTAAATGTAAGGATAAATTAAAAGCTTTCACCATTCAGCAACCTGGCTGTATAATAAAATGAATTGATTCAATGATTATTTAAAGGTCTGAAGTTAACGTAGAACTTATTGTTAGAACTTATTGTCATTTGAACCTATGTTTATAACCATGTAGCCCCCCCCCCCCCTCTCTCCCTAACCTACATCCAATAAACATTATCAACTCATGAGTTTCCCTATGAAAAACGAACCTGCTGTCTTAAGGTAAAGCCAGTTAGTCAAATGAAATGAGCTCGGGTTCTGTTAACAAATTATAATAAATCTGTAACATGTACTATCAATTGACTTGGCCATAAACCTTCTTTTTTCAAATGCTAGAGCTTGAAAAAATTGGTCATATAAGATTGAGTTTGCTGTTTGGAAATTCTTGGTACCAGGTGACCAGTTTTGTTCAAACTTTTGTATTTTCATGCAAAAAAGCTTTATATCAAAGTCTGTTGATGTTGCAAATTGCATTATAGAAATGTAAGTTATCTAAGAGATAGAGCCCTCAAATGTGGAATAATTTCAGAAATCTGAACGGTCTGCCCACCATGAGTCTGTTGAGATTAAAAACATGTACCTGGTGACGATAATCTCCAACTTACTGCGTGTGAAGGATGAGACCCTGGTGGAAGCCCTTACTAAGAAGAAGACGCAAGCTGGTGGAGAGACAGTATTAATCAACTACAAAATGGAGGAGGTGAGGTCCTGAATGTCTTCAAAAATATTAGGAATAGGGACTCCTGATTTTTTTTCTATTGTTGTGCATATTATGTAACAGCTATGAGAATATCGTAAAACATGATTAATTGCTCAGGAGTAGCCTCTAAAATAATATTTTTGGGGATCAGTCTCATTGTATATTCATTCTGATTAGATGTGAAATTCTGTTGATATTTTGAAATATGAAATACAATATAAACTGGTACAAACCTTATCCAATATACAAACCTTATCAAGAACAAGATATTTTTTATGCACAATGATGGCACTTTCATTGCTTGTATTGTATTTAATCTTCAGGCAATAGCTACGAGGGATGGGATGGCAAAATGTCTCTATGGTGCCTTGTTTGACTGGATCGTGCTGCAGGTCAACCACGCTTTAGTCTGCAAGAAAGATAATAGAGACCATCAGGTATTAACTTGAACCACAACATAAATTATACACATACACATTATATACCTGTACATTATATTATCGTATGATCTGTGAAATGAAGCCCTCTGATTGGTCAGTTCTTGTGCTGTACCAATCTCGATATTCTGTATTGGCACTCAACTTTGTCTCGTTCCAATACGGAATTTCTCGAGCAGAATATATCCTTGTCAGCTTGTTTGCTTCGTTGCTACCTAACTCAATGGAAACAAAATCTGTTTTGTTTGCATTGTCCCATAATTTTGATACATACTTTTTCTTATGCCATTTCTGTAGATGGTAAAGACAACATGTTTTTATATATCTACCGCCTGCAGTGGTCAGCATTTGTAACAAGTAGCATCTGTAACAAATGACAGGTGGTGACTTTTTGCATGCTAATGCCTTGTTCTCCATTTATTTTCACCATATTTCTATAATTTACTACAATCTTTTGTTTCTTTATTTCCAGGGTAATTCTATAGGTGTCCTGGATATATTTGGGTTTGAGGACTTTGAGAGGAACAGCTTTGAACAGTTCTGTATCAACTATGCCAACGAACACTTACAGTATTACTTTAACCAACATATATTCAAATTTGAACAGGTAAGACACACCTTTGAATGACTATCTATTAGATATAGCTTTAATTCAATGTCAATGAATAAGGCCGAGTCAGTCATCAACATGGTTTGGACCTGTTTTCCTCTCAATGTGTATGTATGTATGGCAATAAAGTAAAATCATTATGTTTGTTTCAAGGGTTCCATTTTAGATTGTTTGAATAAACTAGGAGGAGACCATAAGCTCTAGAGGCTAATCTGAACTTAACCAATTAAAAACAGGCATAATATATTTTATTTGTTTGAAATATTTTGCTTTGAAAGCCTTCTGAAAAAGTGAAATTGCATATAGTTGATAAATAATATTATCATGTGTACATTGATCAAGACTTTCTCTTTATACAGGAAGAGTACATGAGAGAAGGGATCCAGTGGAAGAACATTGAGTTTATAGATAACACTGGATGTCTGGATCTATTTGCCAAGAAACCTGCTGGTCTCTTCAGCCTACTTGATGAGGAATGCAAGTAAGATCATGAGAGATTATCTGAACAATTTTCTAAACACCATTCAAACTAAATCTTGTAAAGTATTAGTGACCACTTGGTAAAACAGCAAATAGACCAATTGCAATGTCGTTTTCTGTATATCTAATACTAATACAGTATAAGAAGAATCTCATTTAGCATATCAAAAGCAACCTTGTAATAGCCAGTTGACTGACTTATCTCCAGCTTGGGTCCTACTATAAATTTTACCATTGACTAGTTAATAATACCTGAATGTTGATCTAAAATCTTCACAAAAAGGGATTCACTTAACATGCTTATCTTTACAATTTCAATTTTTTAGTTTCCCTGGAGCAACTAATGAGACATTACTGCAGAAGTTTCACAGTCAACACCGCAATACCCCTTACTATGAGGCCCCTCGTACAACCCACACTGTATTCAGTGTAGTGCATTATGCAGGCAAAGTGCAGTATGGAATTAGGGTATGTCTTAATTAACAATTTCAGATAATTCTGAAAATTCGGTCACTAAAGAGATTTTGCGAAAAACTGCAGATTGACATCATTTTTTGAGGCATTGATTTTTGTACACTGCGATTGTTCTTTCTTGTAGGACTTCCGAGAAAAGAATTTGGACCTCATGCGACAAGATGTTGTGTTTGTCTTAAAGAATAGCACCCAGTCTTTTGTTCGAGAACTGGTTGGAGCAGACCCCTTAGCGGTGTTACGATGGGCTATTTTACGTGCATTTTTCCGAGGGGTAGCAGCATTCAAAATGGCTGGAAAGCGTTATAGGAAACAAGGAGGTATATTTGATAGCAATATCATCAGTGTGCAATGGTTACTGACCCTGAGGCTCTTAATGATTTAGTTTTGTTATGACACAGCTGCTTTTCTTCAGCATATGTATGAAAATAACGCATCAACTATCTGTAATTGAATTTTGACCAGCCCATTTGAAAACCCTAATATCTTGGAATGTATTCAAAGCAATAAGAAATTCCTTTCATACAAATTGCATAAAATGTCATCAATATTTCAACTCAAAGTTATGATGCAAAACAAAATGGAATTGTATAGAAACTTTACTGAAGTAAGCGAATGCTGTTTAAGAGGTCTACATTTGCCTACTGTCAATTAAGAAATAAAACGACATAAACTCCCAAACAACTGTAAAATTATAAAACAAATAAATTCTGGGCACATATTTAATTCAATAATATATACTATAATTAGCCTTGCCCCAAGTCGGTATTTTTTACTTTATCTGATCTTGAATTATTACCGCCTTGTGTAATCCGATACATCTCCACTGTTATTATGATAAATTATGCACCAACTATTACGTGTGCACTATAGCATTAGCCAATAGCGGTAGTCATACACAAAAATCAATAAATAAATCCACGTGTTCGCCATGCGGTTGTGAAGTTATATGCGGCATGCTTGCAGTCTGCAAATCCAGGCTTCTCCTTTAGCAATCTCTGTATGGAGTCCTAACACCCCTCTGGTTTTACTGATGACATTAACTTGGACGCGTCCACTATTGAATAAAGTAGTTTGTACACGTGCCAACGTCCTCAATTTCCCCATACATTAGTGCAATCAACACGCCGTTTTTGTTTGAAACAAAAATTTTATATGGAGAACAACAAGTCGTCAGTTGTAAAGGATATCAACCTTAATTCAACAATGAACTACAATGTCAATGAACAACTGGAAGATGGACAAATTCCTGACTTTTCAAGTCAACTTCAAAGGGATAGTTCAAATTTGCTGCAAGGGAACATTTTCTCTGGCGAGGAAAATCCAACTCCGGGTAGCATGCCATCCCACACCATCACCAGCGGCATAGACATTGACAACAACATCAACAGTGACTTCATGAATCGTGGGCTCATTCCACCAGGAAATGAGGGGCATGATATGAACTCACAAGGGAAGGACTTGACTTGCCAGTCAAATTTCAACCCTACTTTGGATACTCGTGATTCTGGGCTCACCTCCCTACCCGGGACTGAGGTGCAGGACACATCCAACTTTCAACATCACCACCCTACAACAGGGAGAGACTTCATACAGTCTAATAGTCTGAATTCAATAGGATTCAGAGCAACAAACACTTTACCATCTAAGAGGTTTTCAAAATCTCAACAACAACAACACTCCGAACTGCGGACCTATCAAAATCAACAACCAGGGCTAGCCTCAAGTATATCGCCAGATATGGTCCAAGATATTATCAAAGGACTGACTCCAACTCTTGAATTGCTCGTAGCAAACAAACAACTTGACGTTGAACTTCTAGGTGAAACAACCAACAGAAGCAGGTCCGCTAAAAGAAGGGAGGTACAAAGAGCGAAAAAGCGAACTGTTTCGCCGTCTAGTCTACAGTATGTTTCCCGGACCGGGCATCTAGCCCCAAACGGGCAAGAAGTGATCATCCCTACAGCGAACTGGACTCGCCCGTGACCTCTCCTGCGCACATGCGCCGTGACAGCAATAACCCGGAAGACTCGGATTCTTCCAATTCCGACAACGATCATGACTTAATTTGTTGGAAGAACTGTGTTAAACTAATTAAAAATGCCTTTCCGAGTCATTTTAAAACAACTACAGACTATAACACAGAAACACAAACGGAAAATAGACCGCTAGGACTTCAAACTTTGGGTAAGAAATCTACTTCTTCAGACACAACAAAAGGCTTACCGATCGGGCCTTCAGTGCTACAGAATTTCGCCAACATTAACCAGGAATTAGCCAACAAGAAAAACATGAATGACACTAACTTCCTGTTAAGACCAAAACGATCGTTCACGTCCCTCAAAGAAGATGAACACTTCTATAAAAAATCCATTTTGAATGGGACAACTAAGGAACTTATTCCACATTCCATGAAACTATCAGATTTGGCTTCAACTTCTTACCAGCTTCCAGCCAAACATCACAAACTGTTGGAAGAATCAGCGAGAGCTCCTCTTCGTCATCTGTCTCACACTGAATGGATTCTAGGGACAACAGGGAAAATCATTGCAGAGAATTTCCCTGAAAATGAGGATCTCGTCAATCTTATTACAACAGCTTCAACTATGGTAAATAAAGCTACAAGGGACACCATTTCAAATGTCACAAACGTCATACTGACTCAAAGGGACAGGGTAAGCTCCAAGTTCAGGAAGTCAGACGCTGAAGCCCTTAGGAATCTCCCCATCGACACCAAATTTTTATTTCCTGAAGAGGATTTAAAAAATATCTGTGAAGGATCGGATAAATCTAAAACCTCAAAAGCGCTACAAGATTTAGCTTCAAACTGGAAAAATCGAAAACAGAATTATGATAAATCCAGTAATAACAACTCCAACAGAAGTAGTAATCAACATTCCAACTTTAACAGGAACAACTTCAACAACAACAACAACAACAGAAACAACAACAGAAACAACAACAGAGGAAACTTCTCTGACCGTTCTACTTCTACAAAATCCAACAACAATAACAACAAATCAGGCTTTAAGAAGCGTAAATGACACTTCAATAACATCAATGTCCCAGCCCCGCCTCCCCCCGTTCTCACCTATGTCCCAGCTGGGACCAGTGGGAGGCAGGATTCAACTACACTTAAAAAAATGGGAACTCATCACAAAGGACAAATGGATTTTAAATGTGATAAAACATGGCTACATGCCACAACTAGTGAACAATCCACCTTTGACAAAAAACTTCAACAACTTCGAATCGGCATCAAAAACAAAAGCTCTACTGCTTCAAAACATAGTAGATCTCCTAATTCAAAAACAAGCTGTGGAGGAAACAGACTACAACACACCGGGCCACTACAGCATCATATTCTTACGCCAAAAGCCAAACGGAGATTACAGACCCATAATAGACCTGTCTCTCCTCAACAAACACATAATATGCCCAAAGTTCAAAATGGAAACTTCAGCCAAAATATCAAACTCTCTACAAAAGGGCGAATGGGCCACATCCATCGATTATCGGGATGCTTACTACCATATACCGATAGCCAAACCATTCAGGAAGTTTCTTCGCTTCGTGATCAACAACAAAGTATACCAATTCAAAACACTTCCATTCGGAATGTCAACCAGCCCTTATGTTTTCACAAGAGTGACATTAGCAATCGGTGCCTTCCTACACTTCCAAGGGATATTAACACACCAATATCTCGACGATTGGCTAATACGAGCCCCATCTGCACAACAGTGCCAAATATGGACACAAACAGTACTATCAGTGACGGAAAAACTCGGTTTTGTGATCAACAGAGAAAAATCCGAACTGATCCCAACACAGATTTTCAAGTACATAGGCACCCAATACAACCTAATACTAGGCCTAACATATCCTCCGCAAGACAGGATCCAAAAATCTTAGAAATCGCACAATTATTCACCAATACCCTTTCTCAACCAACAAGGCAGTGGATGAAACTACTAGGCCTACTAGCCTCAGCAGAGAAAAATATACCCTGGGGCAGACTATACATGAGACCAATTCAACAGTGCCTAGCCAGCCAGATGTCTCCTACAAAATCACTAGAGACACCAATCTACATCAACCAAGAAGTAATAAACACACTGAAATGGTGGATGGACGAGCAGAATCTACTCATGGGTCAACCTCTGGGAATGTTTGTTCCAGATCACACAATCTTCACGGATGCATCGGAGACTATGTGGGGTGCACACATGGACTCTGTGGAAATCAATGGATTCTGGTCCCCATCAGAAATGAGAAACCACATCAACTGGCTAGAACTAGCGGCAGTATTGAAAGTTCTACACAAACTGAATCATCTACTGGTACCTCAAGCAAACATTCTAGTTTGCCTGGACAACACAACAGCCCTAAGCTACATAAACAAACAAGGCGGGACAAAATCGAAAAGTCTTCTGACCCTAAGCCAGGAAATCCTAATCTGGTGCAAAAACCACCAAATAAACATAAGAGCTCAACATATAGCAGGATCCCTAAACCGACGGGCAGACGGGACTGGATAGTGAACACAGAATGGTCTCTACTCCCACAAATAGTGAAACGACTGTGGCAAATATGGGAGACTCCTCAGTTAGATTTGATGGCGACATGTCACAACAACAAACTACCACTATATGTATCCCCAGTACCAGACCAAAACAGCTGGGGAACAGACACAATGTCAATCCCGTGGGACAATCTCAACTTCTACATATTCCCACCAACAAGCATGATCGACAAAGTTCTAACAAAAATGAGAACACACAATTGCGAAGCCATAATGATAGCTCCAAAATGGCCAAATCAACCTTGGTTCACGCAAATTCTGGAACTTCTAACGGACTACCCAAGAACGCTTCCAGTGTCTCAAAAACTACTAAAAATGCCAAAGACAAGCATGTTTCACCAGACTCCGGAAATATTTGCCCTTCACGCCTGCAAATTGTCAACGACACCCTCAAAAAACAAGGCTTTTCTACAGAAGTGTCTCTTCGAATCTCAGAATCATCAAGGAGGAAATCCACAAATAAACTCTATGATTCCAGGTGGAACACCTTCACTGTTTGGTGTTATGAACGGAATTCAGATCCATGCCAAGCAGATATTCCTCTAGTGGCAGAGTTTCTACTATATCTTCACCAGACTAAGAAACTTTCAATTCCTACCATTGAAGGATACAGAACTGCCAATAATACAGTACTGAAAAAATCATCTGATATTGACTTGACTGATAATTCCCTCATAGGCGATCTTATCAGATCTTTTAAACTGGAAAACCTGACACCAAGGAACATGGTACCTAAATGGAATCTTGTATTTGTTCTTAATGCTTTATCCAAAGCACCCTTCGAACCTATGGCCACAGCGGAACTTAAATTCACATCATGGAAAACACTCTTTCTTTTACTCATGGCTTCAGGGAAGAGAAGAAGTGATATACATGCACTCGACTTCAGACGTTTAAAATGGTAAGAATCCAGGGACCAAGTAACTATGTATCCCTTCATAGGATTTCTACCAAAGTCACTATCAGCTGCAGAAGGAGAATCTCGCTTTCAACCAATCCTCATTAAAGCTCTCACCACACTGGTGAATAGAGACTCTCCAGACAGGACACTTTGCCCCCTCAGAGCTCTACGTTACTACCTTCAAGCCACAGTCTCAACAAGGGGCAACCGAAATAGACTGTTTATACCATACAAAGCCGGATATACTGGAGATATACACGTAAACACTATATCTTCTTGGGTGAAAAATCTGATCTTGTATACTTACAAAAATTCACAAGAAACAGATTACCAAATCAACTCTATTAAAACCCACGAAACCAGGGCCTTATCTGCAAGCCTTGCTGTTCAAGCAAATCTGTCAGTTACTGCAGTTCTCAAAGCCTGCTCATGGGCAAATCACAACACATTTACCAGCTTCTACCTACGAGATACATCAGTGATCGAGGGAGAACTGCGGAAATTAGGCCCTATGATGGTTGCAGGCTCACTATACAACATATAGCATCTTCAACAGCCTTGTGGTGAGTCATCATCATTAAACATTCTTATGATTTTATAATGTAAATTATTTAGAATGTTCTACTTGTTGGTTTGTGGGTCCCTCTGGTTTAACTGAATTCACCCACCTCCTTTTCGGCTACATTCAGGCATATAATTGAGAGGTGGGATGTGTAATAATACTGGGAAAATCCTTTTTTAATTGATTTTCCTGTTTATAAACATACCCACCTCTCAATTACCAAAGTCCCACCCGACCTCCCCACTATTCATTAGGGGGAATAGGGAAATTGAGGACGTTGGCACGTGTACAAACTACTTTATTCAATAGTGGACGCGTCCAAGTTAATGTCATCAGTAAAACCAGAGGGGTGTTAGGACTCCATACAGAGATTGCTTAAGGAATCTAAGGCATATAATTGAGAGGTGGGTATGTTTATAAACAGGAAAATCAATTAAAAAAGGATTTTCCCAACTTTTCATTATCCTTTTAACAGCATAACTATAAGTGTTTATATGTGAACTGATCAGTCATCAACTTTCTGATATTAAATCGGTCCACTACATTCAAATTACTTTCAATTCTATTTAGCAAATAAAATGTTTATCGATTTTGTGAGGGTCATTTTCATTTTTGCTAGCTGATGAAAGTAAAGCGAGGTAGGACTTCCCACAATGCCACTATCAAAGGTTCCGATACTAACTCGCTGATTGGAGCAAAATCAACAACTGTATTACCTCGTGTGTTTGTAACCTAAATTTAGACATTGAAAGATCGCGTGCTATTGGTCAAAATCACCGACATAAACAAACTGTCGGTAAAGCACGTGGCTTTCTCTTTGGTACAAGGCGGTCATAATAGAAATCAAGATAAGTAAAAGAGACCGACTTGGGGCAAGGCTATACTATAATATAAGTTATAAATATTTACTTGTTTAGGTAGGATAGGTTCAATAAGACGCAAAGCCCAACAGAACTCGCTCAAAGCTCAGTCCACTAGTAGTTTACCTGTACGACAACTCTCTATGGGGCCTAAGTCAACTTCTACAAGTTCTATGGACAGTATTCAGACCATGGGACTTGGGTAAGTAAAAACAAACATCCCCTGTAACTAGGGTAATGATTTAATTTTGTTTTTTTTGAAGACAACAATTTTAGATTTCCATCCCAAGAAATGTGCTCATGTGAAAGATAGTGAAAAACATCATGTGAAATAAATATTTTGGTGACTGGATTTAACTAAGTTGAAAATCGGATCTTAATATCTCACAATAATATTTTAGAGTAGATAAGCTATGTTATTGAAGAGCACTTTTTTTAAATGAATTTATTGTTTTTGTTTTACATTTACTCTGCATCTACTAGGCATTCTAGGTAACAGAATAACAGCAGCTCCTACCCTGATGTACTCCTGCTGACATCTTTATTTTTATTCATGCATGTTTTAGGCACCATTGGGCTAAACAACTGCGTCGCTTTCCACATCATATAGGGCTTAACTTAGCTTATAGTCATTGGTAAGATGTGACAACACTTCAATATGGAATGAATCACATGTGAATCACACTGTGTAACTGCACAACTAAACTTACTTTAAAACTTAATTTATTCTGCCATTTTTAAAGCTTTTGCCGGGGGATGAGGTATTGGAGATGGCAAACTGAATAGTGTTTGATTTAACAAATGGGAGTCAATCGAAATTCAAAATTATCAGATTTCGAAAATTGAGGGACATGATTTTCGCAATCCCCTATGTGCCTGATTCTAGGACATCTATTCTCCCTCCAGATTTTGTTTTGTTTGGTGTCTCTTGATAAATCTCCCTAAAAATTATTTAAGGCTAACGAGGTGGAGCAAGCAATAACACTGCAGACTGGAGGCCTGTCACAAATCAACTGCATGCTTGATGTGCTATTCTCTCTGATATATGTACATCAATTTCCTTAAGGTGGGCCATGCTGAACAGATAACCCAGATGCCATTTTTGAAAATATCATGAATTTTAACTCTTCATTTTTCTAATGTATCATGATACATGTACAATACAAAGGGAAAGTCAATTGAATTTCACAAATTATAGTTCATGATATTTGTGGCTAATTCGGCGGATCTTTTACATCTGATGTAATGTCCGCACAGGTCAGAAATTCCCACACAAGACCCCCAAAACCACTGTTCTATTTATTTTAGGTGTATTACCTGTAATTCAACTATTTCTGATACTTTTCAGATTATTAGTTACCATATGAAACAGGTTGCATGTTTTTGGAATTCTGTTTAGTAAAAGTACTTGATTTAGTCATGTCACTAAAATAGTTGGACATTTCAAGCGAATATTTCTGTTTTACTTCACGTAGTGGGATGTTTGAAACAACACTCGCTCTCACAGTTCTGCGCCGTATCAAGTGAGTCCGCAGCATGAGTTCCTGATTTCTTAGTCCCTAATGTTATTATAACTATATGCTTCCCATTTATACAGTGTGGTTACTTTTTAACCATGTTCCATCATTGGTTTCATTTCTTTCTTAAATAATTCCCCAATTTGTTACATTTTTCTATTATATTGTGTGTTCACATTGGTTTGGGTTAATTGTTGATCACTTTAGATGTTCTACCCCCATTTGTAAGTTAATTTTCTGTTCTCTCATTTGCCAGTGCAATATTGGATTTCCCCATGAAGTGCTTTCTAATCATTTGTTCATCCTTTCCCATTTCTTACACTTTCAGCATTTCTTTTTCCTTTGACCTCACTTCATACTTCATTACCCCCATGGGCTACCATTTTATAACCATTCCCCCCACCATTTCCTCATCTTTACACCATTCCACCAAGCCATGTTACCATTATCTTGAGGTTTTGTCATCGTTGTCTTTTTATGTAACCAATATCTTCATTATCCTATTGATCATTTGTCAGTCACAGCTTCATTTGCCCCAATTTGATATTTCAAAATGTAATGCACTTATTTGTAATCTTTTAATGGAGTATATTCCCTGCTTATGACCTGTTTGACTTAAATCATAGTATCATCCCTAGTCATATAAATGTACCTTGCTTTTATGAATTAGAAAAAGAATGTCCAAGGCCATCATTTAATTTTGTAACAAAGAAAGAAGACGCCATCAAAATTGTCATCCTATTTTAATTATAGTTATAATCTTAAAGAATTACTTAAATAGTTGAGCCTAGTGCTTTGCATAATTTTGGCACATTTGTTGTTAAAATCAAAGCATAATGCCTACACATCAATGGAGGGAGAGAGGGAGGGGGGGGAGAGAGAGGGAGAGAGAGAGGGCAGGGTGTTCAACGGGCATTTTGTTTTGATTGATTTATGCATGTTACATTTTATCTTGTGGTGGTTGTACATTTCTTCAGGTACATTCATAACAATTTTAATCACTTTTAATGCATGTTTGTTTTGATTTTAATTAAAGTATGTAAAAATGCACAGCATAATAAACAATGATTTGCGTCATGTTTTGATGTATCTGAGGTTGTGTTTCCTTATAAGGGCAACTGTATGAAATGATGTCATGTTGGTCTTTGATTTTCACGAAACACTTGCCAAGAAAATTTTCTTTTTATTGTCATTTCTTAAGACATATATGCAATATTTGAATTACTCTTTGGCTCACACATTAAACTTTAGAAATTGCACAGTTCTCCATCTATCCTTCATTATAGCCTATACATTGGTCCGTCCATCAGTTTTGTGATTTACCATGACTGTGTGAGCACAAGGGCTATGGGTCCTTTATTTACATTTGCCAACTTATTTGCAGTTATTTATGACCACCACGACATCATATAAGGAATATTTATTGTTTGATGTTTCTGTGCATATGCAGTCCTGATGCGCTGCTCTGTCAATTTCCAGAATGAAATATGTCCATGTTTTGTGAAGTCAGTTGCATTATGACGTATGCATACTGCATTTTATTGTAACTTCTGTGCAGTTATATATGCATGAATATTAGAATCAGTCAACACAAAGCCACAAAGTGTCAAAAATAAGGTAGCCTTTAACCTTGCCCATAGTTCATTGTCATTTCTAGTGGCTTTGTGTTAAACTGCAATTGGAGGAGGTGTAACATTCTGTGTAGACTAGATGTTTAGGGTGTCAGGCTGCATATGCATGTGCTCACTGTTGTGTGTCTATTTCACTCTTTATATGTTCCCTAAATACGTCTGCTCACTGCAATGCATTATGGGATTTTTTTGTAGAAGGAGAGTATGAGGAATCAGACCACTACTCAAACCTCTATAAACCAAAAAGACATATGTTATGAAAAGTTCACGTTATATTGTTTTCAGTCCTAAACGTAGCGCAAGTGAACGTTCTATTCCCTCCCCTACTCAACATCAGTCTGACCAAGCTAACTCTGTTAACCTAAGGGAAAAGCCTTCTGTGAATAGAGCACAGCGGGCGCAAAGGACGCAATCACTTGTTTATCGTGATGTTTTACCTTGCAACAATAATGCTCTACAATTTGACTCTGAAATGGAGGTGATGCGTCGAGCCACTAAAGTGCTACAGTATGTAATATCTTGGCCCTCTTATAATCAAAAAGCTTCAATGTCTTAACAGAGGAAACACTATTATGTAAATTATCTTGACCCAAGTGCTAATATTTAATCATTGATCTGACTCTCTTTAACAAAGCTACCACAAATAAGTTGAATTAAAATATGTCTATAGCCTGTCTTCTGTACCGTTTAATTTATGAATGTTCATGGTCTGGTCCTTTATTGATAAAAGAGTGACAATATGTAAATATTTCTCCTATCTTCTTATAAGTGCTACAATATTTAAATGTCTTAGCTCTATCTTTACTGAAAAGCTAAAATATTCAAATACATTGTCCAATAAGAAATATCTTTTCCCCTACAATTTACAAATCATCTTGGCCCTCTCCTCTCTTAAAGTGCTATTCTTTGTAAGTTAAGATGGTAATTTCTACACTTAAGTATGGTGCTCTATCAATGATCCTGTACATTTCCTCCCTGAATTGCTACAATATGTAAATTATCTTGAACCAATTCTGCTCTCTTGAAACATTTCTGTTCACTGAAACTTTCTCCTCTTGAATGCAACAATATTTCATTATTTTGACCAATTTTTCTCACTTGCTAGAACATTGAATTATCTTGTCATTTTCTCCTCAAAAATGCTATGTCATAGAATATCACAGTCCATAGCCATTTCTGCACTGAGGTACATCCTCTCTCAAGTACTATACTATTTATTAACTATTTTGGTTGTGTCTTTAGTGAAATGCTACAATATGAAACCCATTGTCAAAATAAATATCTTGCACTGTATGTAAATTGTATTTTCCTTAATCTTCACCTAACTGCACCTAACTGCAATAATCATGTGATAACATCACTCTCAATGTTTTCTCTTATCCTCAAATTTCATTCCTAATTATTGTATACTGTGACAAATCTTGGGTCTGGCCCATCATCCGGGAAATACTATGATGACAATTTTAGAGGTTTTCTGTTTCATTATTCACTGGTATTTCCATGTGCTTAATGATTTTCTATTTTTTAAAATATCCTTTTGATTTATTTAAGTCTGATAAGCATAATATGTATGTTACCTGTTATATAGAATAGTTACATGTACATGTTTGTAATAAAGCTTTTTTCTAAACTTTATATATTTCCTTCTTGTTGATCTTTATTATATATTAGATATAGTGGTTGAGGCTTACTGCTATATGCGTGCACTAAATTGCATGGGTGTTTCTGAAGAAATACAAAATTGTCAAAAACAAAAATATATATTTTGATAAATTATAGAGAATGGTTATTATTATTAATTTATTATTGTTTTCAATAAACTGAATCCTGTATTGTTTGGATATATATGATACAATGTACATATTTGTTTTAAATAAGTTTACATGATTTTCAGGAAAAACAAGTCTTTCAAGCCAAAAAGCAGTAGGAGCTTAAAGGTACATTCAGATAACAAAAACCTAATCTCAATTTCATCAAAATTGATTATCGAACCCATTTTTTGTTATTGTCTTTTATGAAATGCACTGAGTTAAAGGAGTAATGAATTCTAGTGATAATGAATCAGTGGGAGTTATCAGTCATTGAATCTGGTAGAACGTCAAAGATCATAAGACAAACACAAGAGCTTAATTATTGTTATTATTAGATATTAGCAATTTTAATTTCTAATATTTCTAACTCAGTATAATTGTAATTAAACTTGGGGCTTTAACCCCAAAATATTAAACACTGAAAATAATGAGTACATAGATTTTGTATTGAATTCAGTTCTGCTGGACAAAGGAATTATATATTTTAGTATTTATTAATTTAGAAATAATGTATATACAGTACAATAATAATACATGAGTAATACTGACACCATATGGCATTTAAAAGTATATCAAGTATTGATTTCATAGATTTGAAAAGTGCAGTTACCTAGTAGTATTCTTCATTGTTGAGTTATATTCCTTTTGATAAAAGTTTTATGATATGAGTGTGGAGAGGCCATGTGTTTGTTTTGTTACCCCCCTATCACACCAAACTATTTCTTACCCATTCTTGCCAGTCCTACGAAAACATCATAAAACGGGCTCAATCTGGCTGTGGTAGGGAAATATGTCTAAAATAAATAGCTTCTTCGTTCATGAACAGTCTTCAATACGTCCATCTCATTCGCAGTTCGTTCAGGTTGCACCACGTCGGTGTGCAACTTCGTATAACGTGTCCCTTAGTCTAGAAGGTCATCATGACCTGATTACAGAATGGTATGGTCGCCATTGAATTTTTAATCGATTCAAAATTCTAAATCACATTCCCCGTCCGGGAAAGTCCATGAAGTTCGTAAACAGACCGTTGAACGTTGTAGCTACGTTCATTCCGTTCGCACACAGTTTAAAACCAGTGGCAACTTGCTTGGTGTGATAGCTATATTTTTGCTAACTCATTGATAAATACATTCTTAATCAGTTTTAACCTGTTTGCAATTAGTTCTACCTCGTTCTCAATATGTCCCCAGACAGTTCAACTCGTTGTTAAACTGTCCATAGTAGGATTGAAGTACTACGATTCCATTTGTAGTACGTCCAGCTCGTCGTTAGTAGGTTGTCACTTGTTCTAATTGTAGAACGTGATGACCAAGAGGACATTTGAGCAAGTTCTAAGTTTTAGAGGACCTACCCGTTCGAGTATGTTCGATGAAGTTTGTAAATAGACCCCAAATGGTTTTAAGTACGTCCAGTCCGTTGGTAAACAGTTGAAGCCCGTTTTCGAGAACATAGTGAGAACTAGTTTGGTGTGATAGTAGGGTTAGTTTATACCGTCATTGTTTATAAAATTCACTGAGTCAAATTATTCTCTTGCAGATCATGTACATTTAATACATTTTGAAGTTCAATTAATGTTATATGTTGGAATTTTAAACACAGTTTGTTATTCAAAAACAACCATTGTTAGAATAGAGGATACCGATTAAGACAGTGCTGCAGTGCCTTTATATGTGAAGATAAGTTATGATTATTTAATAAAAAGAAAGAGTGATATTCTGGTTCAATCGTAGGGAAACTGTTGTGTGTCAAATTTGAAATTAAAAGCATGTGTCTTGTTTCCCTGTACTCTTGGTATCTAATCATATTTTTATCGCACCCTTAGGTGCTATATTGTAATCAGTTTGCCGGGCGGGCGGTTGGGCAGGCGTCCCGAATAATCTTGTCTACAGGTTTCCAGCCAAACCGTTTGAGGGATTCATTTGAAATTCTCAGGGATGTTTCTACCTATGAAAGTTTAGAAATGATTAGTATTTCGGCATTCTGGGTAAATGTTAAGGCGGCCATTTTGGATTTTCCATCCTAAAATCTTGTCTGTCAAGGCTTGTCTACAGGTTTCCAGCCAAACCATTTGAGGGATTCATTTGAATTTCTCAGGGATGTTTCTACCTATGAAAGTTTAGAACTGATTAGTTTTTCGGCATTCTGGGTAAATGTTAAGGCGGCCATTTTGGATTTTCCGTCCTAAAATCTTGTCTGTCAAGGCTTGCCTACAGGTTTCCAGCCAAACCGTTTGAGGGATTCATTTGAAATTCTCAGGGATGTTTCTACCTATGAAAGTTAAGAAATGATTAGTTTTTCGGCATTCTGGGTAAATGTTAAGGCGGCCATTTTGGACTTTCCCTCCTAAAATCTTGTCTGTCAAGGCTTGTCTACGGTTTCCAGCCAAATCGTTTGAGGAATTCATTTGAAATTTTCAGGGATGTTTCTACCTATAAAGTTTAGAACTGATTAGTTTTTCGGCATTCTGGGTAAATGTTAAGGCGGCCATTTTGGATTTTTCGTCCTAAAATCGTGTCTGTGAAGGCTTGTCTACGGTTTCCCGCCAAACCGTTTAAGAGATTCATTTGAAATTTTCAGGGATGTTTCTACCTATGAAAGTTTATAACTCATTAGTTTTTGGCATTCTGGGTAAATGTTAAGTTGGCCATTTTGGATTTTCCATCCCGAAAAGTGTATCTTGTTCAAGGGTGCGATTCTGTTCACCGTGTGGCTTATAAGTGTTTTCACATGTTTAGGGGTTCCGGGACCTGAAGTCTATGCGTGCAATGCAGGGGAAAGGTGCAATTAGTCGGAGGTCATCCAGTAAAAAGATGCCAAGTGTTAGCGCCCAATTCCAGGTAAGATATTAGATCCAAAAGATCTAAACATCAATGTGACCATGTTTTACAAGTCATTCAATAAGTCCAACTATGATTTTGCAATAATTTAGATTTTAAACCAAAATTAGTATGTTTTCCAGTCATATATGTATAGATTTTATTCACTTGAGTCTTCTAAACCATAGCTTATAGCCTTTCATATTTTCTGATTTTGCCAAAATTTGATTAGTTTCTGTTGCATCGCCTTGAATAAAAAAAATATTATTAATTTTCTAGCATTCTTTGTCAAAATTGATGGAGACATTAGACAAAGGGAATCCATATTTCATCCGCTGTATCAAGTCTAACGCAGACAAGGTGAGTAAAGTATTTACCCTATAAGACATATTATTTCATTTTTGTTCTTCTACATGTTCATAATTACGTAAATTGCCAATATTGTTTTGAGCAATTTTATAAACGTTTCTCCAATGATTCCATTCATTTTTGCTTTATGTCAGAGTTTATGTATCAGGATATCCCTTTGGTAACTCACTTAAATCTGTGTGAAATATGTTTTTTTAGTAAATGTACTATACATGTATGTACTTTTACTTGTCTTGAATTTTGATGCTTAATTAATCTCCTGCTGAGAATTAAAATAAGTATCTTAATAAGTTTCTTATAAAAACAAATATTTGTTATCATGAAAAAACACGAGTGGGAGCATGTACAAATTACAAAGTAGAAACAACTTAAGTATAGGGTATTTAAGATTACATGCAATCCAACCTATTCCATGACATATGCTTACTCCCCTTTATTATTTGGGGATCTTTACTTGGATCAGCTCATTATTTTTATCCGGATGATTTTAGACTTGCCAATCACTCCAAATAAGGGGAGTTAGCATATGTCATGGAATTGGTTTGTATTGTAATGAATCAAGAATTTAATTGTAAAATTTCACATTTATTAACATGTGTGATTAAGTTGGTTAGTCAGCCTTTATTAGCATTTACTCATTCCCTTATTCATTCTTTTAATGAGATCCCTATGAGGCTTCTATGCAATCACATCCCACACACAGTCTTTCTTCATATTTCCTGATATATATTTTAGGCTCCGTGTAGGTTTGATGATGAGACAGTTTTGCGGCAGTTACGTTACACTGGCATGCTGGCTACAGTCATGATTAGACAGTCAGGCTATAACTACAGACTTACATTTGAGGTATGCTTCTTTTGTCTCTGCTGGGTAACCCAATATGCTAGGCGACATCTTAACCTATCACCATCTATGTCCCATATTTACAAGGTGCGATTGTATGGATGTTGTCATTTTTATTAATCCACGATAAAAAAGGCTTCCACTATTATTTTATTATTGCACATGAAATTGTTTATATCAGGTTCTGATGGACATGTGGGGGAGGGGTCAAATCATCTTGGTATGAAGATAACAAATAACAATTCAGCCTGATTTGAATTTGTACCATTATAAGTGATATGGTATAATTGACAAAAAAGACTTATCTCAAGATCTGATTAGGACAAGCTGGATGATCTAAGAGGCAGTCATTTTCCTCATCAACAGCCATATTTATCAATTGTCTTGATTTTTGAATTTAAAACTGGTAATGTATCTTGGACCCAGTATGCAGAACTGATATTATAAACTTGTCCTAAAAATTATCACTAGAATATACTGTTAATTGGCGATTGAGGTCCATGAAATAACAACCTTGCTGATATTGTCGTCATTCCCAGGTGTGACGTAACAATACAACACGATACATAGATTCCCGGATGCAGATTGCACGATAAATTGTCACTCATCTATTGAGAATTAGAGAACGGCTATGCTGCATTCTGATTGGATGAGGAATTCTGATCTAGCACGGTCATGTATGAATTATGGTCACAGCGAGTGATATATAATGCATATACATGTACAATTATGAATGTGTAGTATTAAATGCACTAATATAACTATTTCAGGAGTTCATCTTCAACTACAAGATCTTGCTGCCTAATGGTCTATTAAGCTCTCGGGAAGATGTCACAAAGTTTCTGAATTCTCTTGGTCTGAACAAAGACAATTACCAGATTGGCAAGACTAAGGTAAGATATACCACAAGTGTGTTGTATGTATGTACAGTAAAACCTGTATAAAGTCAACACCTATGGAGCCAAAAAAAGTATTCACTGTGGGTAAGTGTTCACTACAGAGACTGGATTTAGTACAGGAGTTAATATAAAATGTGTATTGAAGTGGTGTTTACTAAACACATGTGTTTACTAGAGAGAGGTGTTCACTAAGACAGGGTTAACTGTACTTGAACCTCTAAAAATTGAATTACCAACCAGTTTTTAAAATTATTTTCCAATACATATATTTTGTATTTTTTATTAAATTATTTCAATTGATTATGCCATAATATTAAAGAAATGACAAATTATCAGTTGTGCTGAAGCAAATAGCTGGCCAAAATTGAAAATAACTGGGCCTTTGGGTGTTAATTATATTGTCACACTGTGTACATTGCTAGTGATAGAAAAGCATTGTTTCCTGTTGAATAAAAAATAAATACTTGCATTATTCAATAATATTTGCTTGTGTTTGATTTTGACAATGCATGATTATAAAGAAAGGTAAAACTCTTAAAGGTGTTTCTGCGAGAAACTGAGAAGTTGAGGTTAGACGACATGCTCCACCAGGCCATCATGGCATGCATCATCAAGATACAACGCTTGGTTCGGGCTAAACAAGAGAGACAGAGATATATTAAGATGAGGAGTTCTGTAATCAAGATACAAGTAAGTCTTCTGTATTGATGTGAATGCTTTTTAGATACTTAGGGATGGTGTCTACTGTTGTGGAGAAATGAACTTATAAATTACTGTAAATTGTGAATTTCACATATTTCGCAACCTAATTTACTCCATTCTCCACAAATGTTGACAGTTAAACACCATCTCAAATGTATTACCAATACAGCATATGAATTGCTTTTCTCTTTTGTCATATGAAACTTGTTTAAATCAATGTGCAATGTCTTACATTAGAAGTGAATCTGAAATATATGTAGCTTTCCCAAATAAAAGGTTACAGGGGGTTACAAGCTCTACTTTCAACCAACACGCATCATATTCATATCATATGGAACCAGGTGAGGTGGAAAAGAACAAGGAATAACAATAAAAACACATCATACAAACTATAAAATGAGAAAATCACTTCTCTTTTATTCTGATGTTTCCAGGCTGTTGTGCGAAGTTACATCGCAAGGAGGCGTATAAGGCTTGGTATATATGCTGCAATGTTGATTCAAAAGTACTATAAAGGTTATAAAGTGCGGAAGGCATTCCGGGAGAAAGTCCAGGCTGCAGTTCAAATACAGAGTGCGATACGATTCTACCTAGCTCAAAAAAGGTACAAACAAAAGATGGTTCATAACCATAATAAATATGGGAAAACCCATTTCCAAAAGAATTAACAATTGCTATGTTCCTGAACACATTCCAGTTACACTTTAAAGATGTTTGTATTTTACATACAATCCTGTCCAACGAAAGGCTGTGATGCTCAATATCCTGTACATATTACAGTTTTAAATTCATGTTCATCATGCAGTATCTTCTAAAATATTTCGTTCATGCTTTTCATCCATACTCTTTCTATAGTTTGAGTGAAGAGGCTCATTTCTTGTGTTTATGTACAAATGGTTGCATAGTTGGGCTGTTTCTATTTCCAAGGGTCACATTAGACATCTGCTCAGATTGATGACTACTTGCCTGTTTCCTTTATTTCTGTCAGATTTCTCTGTTTTACACTCTCATTTTTTAAACATGACCACAAGATATTTCTCTCACATGAGTTCATGGTTTTAGATACCAGTCCCTGCTTGAGGAGAGAAGACTTCGGCTCTTAGCTGAAGAGGAAGAAAAGGAACGGCAACTCCAAGCTGAGCATATGCGTAAGATGATCGAGGAGCGTCGACTTAAAGAACTACGTGAGGCTGAGATTAAGAAAAAACTGGAAGAACAAAAGAAACAGGAAGAACTTGCCAAAGCTCAACGCCAGAAAGAACTTAATGATATTCTTAACCTTTCAACAAGTGATGAGGGCATATTAACAAATAAAGATTCGAGTAGTACTGAAGAACTGGATTATGATCACCCAAAATCCCACTTGTATGACTCTGAAGAGTATGTACAATTTATATGTTCCTCAATTAATTTGTCATTTTTGCTGCGATAATTGTTTGTTTTATACAGGGTGGAACAAAAAAGTATAACAGTCCTTTTTGCAATTTAATTTTTATGTACAAGGTGAGCCAAAAATTTGCTTTCCACAGTATTTTGTAAATTAAAGAATGCCAAATGCCTTTTACAATTATCTTACCTTATAATCATTTTTCATGGATATCTTCAGGAGCAGTGGAATCTTGGACGACCACTCAGAAACTGAATTAGACCAGAGTTTGCATCGTAAAAGTCGCGACTCTATTGTCAGTCCCCCAACAACATTGTCCCATGCTGCAAAGCAACATGATACACTACCTAGACACCCTGTTGAAGTAGTTCCATCTCTCCCAGGAGATGGTGCTGTCACTCCTGATGATGAAACGGATCAGGGTCAAATTCAAAGGTCAAGGTCAAATTCAAGGTAACTGATGTATTTTTGTATCGTGCCGACTTAGAACGAATTGATTGGCAATAAACAAGTACATTTGAAAAACAACATCGTAACATTGTCTTTGCCTATAAGTAGAGTTTGCTGTTTTGTATACTCATATGTGTTTTATTTACCTAATATTGTTGCATATGCATTTCAGAGTTTTACAAATGGCGCAATCATTTGAAAGGATAGATGAAACTCCTAGCTCTTCTAGTCAACCCCCACCTGAGGTAAGCCATTCTAGTCAATTAACCTCCTTTTGGGTATATTCAAGCCTGGCATTATATTGTATAACAGTTCCGAAATAAAATCTGATATTCACTTTATAGCATGAATAGTTTTTTAACCTGAAAATTCTTAGTTTGATGCATTTATGCAATCAGTAGATCTAGACTTATAATAGAGAGATTTCACTCATAAGTGAAAGTATAACTTATGTTTATGGGTATAGCTATATGGTATAAGTATAAGTGAATTTAAATTTTGATTTTTTTTTCTTCTATAAATTCCTGTTTATTTATAATATGGATTGGATTATAATATGATATATATATAATAAGGGATATATAAACATGCTATAAGTGGGTTAAGAAATCTCTCTAATATATAATTTGCACCTTATTTAGAATATAATCACAGTGATGTGGTTAGTGCCTATAGTTCTTGAAAACAAAGCACTTCGGTTATTTTCATTGAAAGCTTTTATGCAAGCATTTCTATTATATGGAAAAGGGACCATTATATGGTACATGGGTCAATTAAATGGTACTGGATTATATAAACAGTTGGTTGTATTTTATGTTTCAGTTTAAGTTTATATCAGGAAAGACTTTCTTGATAGGTGTAGTAGCTGTTTATGAACCAATCAGATTACAAAAATATGGAGTGCAGATAGTTATGATGTACAGTTACTTACATTTTTAAGTATTTCCATATACAGCAAAAATTGTATGACACAATGACTTGTAAACATAAAATACAACTACAATGATAGACCAGTCAAATGCTTTTGCGCCTGATATAACAATATCTTGCATATTTCTCCTGATACTAAATGTCTACCCTTATGACATTGAATGTCAACCCTCGTGATATTGAATGTCAACTCTCATGCCATTGAATGTCAACTCCCATGACCTTGAATGTAGCCGAGCTAGCATGTTGCATCATATTTCAGCCGCCCCCTCGTCGACGTCAAATCCTTATGAAATCTCAATCTGCTGATACTATAAACAAATCCCAGCCCCGTGTTATAGCCCCCCTAGCCAAGCAAGAGTCTCTGGCAGATTTCTACTCAGAGGAGGTAATGTACTAACATTTCACCTATGTGTGTGTTAAGGTGTCCTATCATTGTATTACCACAATGTTTCAATGAACTACCTTTCCTAACCTTTTCATTGAAAGAAAAATGAATCATTCAGTCTTATCTCAGAGCCAACTAAAAATGGTAAACCCTATCGCAGACATAGGTAATGCCATCTATATGTTTCGCCTTTCACAGAAGATTTAGCTAATTAAAATCTTCAATTTAATTGCATGTTCCTTGTTCTCCTATATATTAACAGTGTGATGTCATGCCTTAATTGTGTGGTCTCACATCTTTATTCTGTCATGTGATATTTCTACTGTACGGCATTACACCTTTACTTTTTGATTTTGATGTCTTACCTTTTTAAATGATATCCAATTCTCTCCTCATTTGAAAAGCATATTATTACATGCATTTTACATTGCACATTTTGCTTTAATTTTTGAATGGGGTTGAAAAAGCAATTACATGTAGAGTCATTTTCATCACACTTTGTATAATTTTTCAAATATTTGAAAAACCTGTTATGAAAACCAAATCAAAAGTTATTGGAATTAAGGCATAAAACAGAGGTGTAATGTCCTATTACATGTATTTGATTTCTTACTTACAAACATTATATGTGTCACTCGTTGCTTTGCTAGAAAATTCTGTAACTCTGTAATTGTAGCTATTCAGTGATCTCCCCCAAATGTTTTTCTAATTGGGCACTAAACCTTAATTTTCCCTTTTTGGTCAGAATATCTCAATTTTCATCCTTTGGCAGATTGAAAGCAAATTTTCAAAATGGTGGCAGGAAAATTAGAATATTAAAGAGTATGCAACACCCAGTCAGTTGCTCTAATACAGGGTAGATCACTGCTATCACTACCATCTATTATCTATTAATTCTGCTCTGCGTCTCTTTACAGGATGAAATTGATGCTAAGGTACTAATACATACTTATCTACTAACAAACCTATTTAATAGCTTTATACCACATTTAGGATAATATTTCATTTTATTCTGATTTTAATAAATGCAAGTATCCTCACCAATACCAAATCTCTTTATGCTAATTTGGCATTTGATCATTTTGCCATTAGCATCAAATTGTTTTGGTGTAACATTGACAATACTTAAGTACTGTACACATGTATAAATATGACTTTCTTAGTACTTCAATGACGTTCAGGTATTTCAATCCCTCTTCACTATTTATGTGGGTAGAACCTGGTATACAGTGCACAGTTGCTCACTATTTAAGACCTTATGGGCATTTCCCTATGGCACAAAACATCCGACCCTTTTCTGTAAAGCTAAACACACAGCCACAAGCAATGTCTCAACTCAAAGTGGTTTATCATTCATTTAGTAACTATTTTTTCTGTGGTTTTGTCTTTAACTCTACTGGACCACCTTTATTGTATGTGTTGTCCTGCTTAGTGTTGTCAAGTTGAATATTTCTAAACCATTTGTGTATTGTATAATGAATTTGACACATGTTTGTACTATGCATTATTACCCTTAGTAAACTAATTTTTAATTGCTCTTCCTCGAAGAATCTTAGCAAGTCATTTAAGAAATGATTTATGGCAATACTTTATGACTATTTAATACATCATTTTTTACATTACTTTTATTTTACAGTACACGGAAGACAATGAACTCAATTCATCATTTACTCGCCAGGGGGCTCTTACTCCTGATAAACTTAAAGAAATTGAGAAAATGGTGAACCGTCGCAGAGATAAACTAGAGGTAGAAGAAGACGGATCTGCAGCCCCTGCCAGCTCTCGGAGCCCCTTCCGTCGGGCTAAGAAACACATCAAAAACTTCATGGGAGGTCAGTAAAATAAGCCTATTTTATATGTATATTTTGACTGTTAGTGATCAAATGGAGGCCTGAAAATACAGACGTTAGAGCTAATGAAAAATATAAATGATCAGGCAGTATTTGTCTCGTAATGTGTGTCATGCGGAGTTTATTACTTTTTCGGTGGTATTTCTATAAGAGGTATCAGGATACAAAATTTGAATTTTGATACGAGCAGCGATACTTTCCTCTTACAAACAATTTTAGCAAGTAACTAAATTTTATATTGATACATGACTGGATATCTTACTGATATTCTAGGTGAGTATTGTATCCTGGCGAAATGCTTGAGCAGGCGAGCAGTGTGGCACAGGATTCCTTTGCTAGTTTCTATTTTTGCAATTTTGTTTTAGAAAAGATTGGCTCCATGTTTCAAGGAAATTATAACATGGAGGATTCTACCAAACATTCTTCTCTACCTAGTAGACCCAAATCAGAGCTTATCAAAATCAGCAATTATGGCTCCCTTAAAGATGTCATGCATAGGCCATGGGCCAGTGTCAGTAAGTGACACCTATATGCATGGACTGACACTAACAACTGAGTCTTGAGTAGCAGATACATGATGCGATTTTGATTTCCCCATTTTGATGTGAAAGCACTGAATGGTTTGTTATTGGTGCAATTAATTTGAATTTGCTAAAGATATACATGTACCAGTACATATCAAAAAGAAGGGGTGTGATTTAAGAAGAACCCTTGGTAAGAAATCAAAAAGTAGTAGTTTGATTTAAGAAAACCCCTGGTTACAGAAGCTGCAGTTTGATCATGCAGAATGTTTGTGCAATTATTACATATTAAAACTGTAATTATTTATGATTGTGTTGAATCTTACATGTTTGTATTGAGTTAATGTTTTAATTTACTTTTACTTCAATTAGCTCTTATTTGTGCGTCATTGATACAGTGATATTAAAAAAATGTTTTCAGGAATAGATTTTAAGCATGATTTGCTGATATTTTAGAGCAGCATGACGTTTGGAATTTGTACTGATTGAATCTTATTCTCTGTTTATATTGTATTTACAAATCCTCTGGTGAATCAAGTTTCATGTTAATGATTATAAATGCTATTATTACAGCTCAAATAGAAATCATATAATTTTGACAATATTCATAGATTTTTAAAAACAAATCAATCCAATAAGCAATTGTGTAGTAGGGTTTGTTTGTCTAAAAATTTTAGAGTGAATACTCAAAAGCGTACAGAAAATAATCTTAAAGAACATTGGTAACATGCAGTATTTTTGAAATTTGGTTTAATGTTCAATAATTCATTCGCTAAATTATCCTTATATAATTTACAGGAAAGAAATCAAAGAAGGATATTTATGAACAAAGTGATGAGTCTGATACTGAAGAAACCAGCAACACAAACACCTCAGCCAGCATTCTTGGCAAATCCAGTAAGTGCAATTTATTTGTACAATCCAGTGATTTCCCATGTTTTTTTTATTATTGCACGTGAACAACACTGAACATGCTGTTATTTTTCTTGTTGTGCTGATGGATATGTGGGCCTATGGGCGGGCTTGTATTTAGGGGGCTTCGAACAGTTCTTGCCCACCTCCCTTTTGCCTAAAAAATTCTTTAAAAATCATGCTTTTCTAATTGCCTATTCACCATGTTGAGCACTTTTCAAGTGATTTAGGTCAAAGTTGTCAAATGTGAACCCCCTGGATTTTTTTGAAAAGTGAACCCCCCATGCCAAAAGCTGGACCTGTGTGGATGAGTTGGTGTACAGGTGGATAGCATAAGAAATTTTGTCATGAGTGTTTGTCTTGCTATTCTCAAAAGTGTTGTAGATCCAAAATCTCAACTTTCATCATTTTCATAGGATTCACACCTACTTTTTGACAGGGTTTCATGTAATTTTAAGGATTTTCAACACCAAGTGTTATCATGGAACATATAACAGGACAACACTTAGAGACCAAAGCAACATTAAAATTCCTCCTATGTTACATCTTAATTTCATTTGGAATCCATATGCCTCCATATTTTGCATTTATCATTGCCATTTCAAGAGATATTTTCAGTAATACATGTACTGCATTTTTTCAGTTGGTGTTCCAGTGCTTCCAGCAAAATCTCTGAGCAAACCTACATCACCAACAGCTGATCGAAGGAAAGAACAAATGTCTCCAAAGCGTCTGAAGGAGACTTGGGCGGCAGAGATGAGCCATATACGATCAACGAGTTCTGCAGGAAATGATGAGGACCAATTGGAGAAAAAACCAAAACATCGAAGAAAAGGCAGCAAGAAATTTAAGGTAAAGATCGGACTGTGTATTGATTATTATGGGCACCTGTATTTTCCATTTAACAGAAGTGACATATTGCTATAACCTTCAACGTCTTTATGACTGGTGTTTGGGGCTAGCATTCGGCATCTGTGATATTGTTACATTTTCCAACCATGCATAACCTTATCAAGTTATCTTCAGACTATTTTGCACTGTTCTATTTTGTGACACATTATAGGGTAATTAATGAGGAAATGTGATTGTTTATTTGACCATCTGTGCCTTTGTATGAAATTACCTCATTTGAGGAGCTTTTGATGAGCTCAATGAAAATTGAAAATTTGATGGGAGATAATCCTCATTAAAGGAAGCAAGGATGTCAAATCTAACCTAATAACAGTAATCATTTGATTACAGTAAAGTAGTGTTTTAAATTGAATCTGATGCAAGGAGAAATGCACTGAGTGATTTGAATTCGATTATATGCAAGCTTAAAAACTGACTTAAATCCATTAAAATGTATGAAAATAGTAGAATGTACATGTGCTGTGAATGCCAATAATTTCATGCATTATTATAGGGTGAAAGAGAACCCAAGGTCTTAGTATGTATTTTATGTACATACACAAGGGAAAAGAGAACTTAAGAACTTAATATGTGTTTCATATGTGTTTCATTTAAGTTGAAAGAGAACTTTTGAACTTAATATGTATTCCATGTATTACACAGGGTGAAAGAGAACTTTTGAACTTAATATGTATTTCATGTATTACATAGGGTGAAAGAGAACTTTTGAACTTAATATGTATTTCATGCATTACATAGGGTGAAAGAGAACTTTTGAACTTAATATGTATTTCATGTATTACATAGGGTGAAAGAGAACCTTTGAACTTAATATGTATTTCATGCATTACATAGGGTGAAAGAGAACTTTTGATCTTAATATGTATTCCATGTATTACATAGTGTGAAAGAGAACCTTTGGACTTAATATGTATTTCATGCATTACATAGGGTGAAAGAGAACTTTTGAACTTAATATGTATTTCATGTATTACATAGGGTTGAACTTAATATGTATTTCATGCATTACATAGGGTGAAAGAGAACTTTTGAACTTAATATGTATTTCATGTATTACATAGGGTGAAAGAGAACCTTTGGACTTAATATGTATTTCATGTATTTAAGTTGAAAGAGAACTTTTGAACTTAATATGTATTTCATGTATTACATAGGGTGAAAGAGAACCTTTGGACTTAATATGTATTTCATGTATTTAAGTTGAAAGAGAACTTTTGAACTTAATATGTATTTCATGTATTACATAGGGTGAAAGAGAACTTTTGAACTTAATATGTATTTCATGTATTACATAGGGTGAAAGAGAACCTTTGGACTTAATATGTATTTCATGTATTACATAGGGTGAAAGAGAACTTTTGAACTTAATATGTATTTCATGCATTACATAGGGTGAAAGAGAACTTTTGAACTTAATATGTATTTCATGTATTACATAGGGTTGAACTTAATATGTATTTTTGAACTTAATATTATTTCATGTATTATATAGGGTGAAAGAGAACCTAAGGAGTCTCAGTGGAATGTTGCTGGGACCTCACAATGGCAGTATCCTACAATTATACTAGCCTCATCTGTGCTAGAGTTCAAGTGTCTCGAAAAATTTATTTCACAAAAGGTGAGCTATTTTTAAGTGCCTTACCATATACATGTACAGAATGCATTTAGTTTTGGGAGTTGGGGATTATAAATAGGGCCATTCAAAGTTTGATCCATTTAGGTATGAGATGATGGTAAGGACAGTGCTATTCACCTTTCCCCTTAAAGTCCAAGGTGTACTCATTTGATGGTAACACTGATTGGTCAGTGGAAACCGATGACGTCGAAGGAGGGCAAATTTCGCGCCAAAACTTTATTTACCATATAGATTGCCTGATTTATTTTAATTATACTTGGACCTGGTACATGTAGAATATGAAATCAAATCATGTTAATTTACTATATATACAATATAGTATACACTGTATTGCACACATTTGGGGAACAATATTATACAAATATTAAATTCTATTAAGGTGAATGAATACCTGTGCATCCTTCACAAATGATATTCCACGATGCTCTTCTTGGGCTAGTTGAATATCATCTTGAGAAAGTGCCACAGGTATTCATTGGTACCATCATGCATGGTGTTTTGAAGTGATCTCTCTCATTCCAGTGTATGAGTCTCTCAGAGGATGGGGGAAAACAAGACACAGCATTTGACAGAGTCTTCAAGGCTACTCTGAAAGAGATCCAGAGTGTAATTATAACTAAGACATCTATAGCTATGCAGGTAATACACCAGAATGGCTACCTCTGTTCACAGAAGGTCATTATCCAGAATTCCTAGCTCTGTTTCCTGATGGTCATTATCCAGAATTCCAGCCCTGTCCGCTGTTGGTCATTACCCAGAATTCATACCTCTTTTTCTGAAAGTTACATTGTATTGCCTGGAATTCTGGACTTTCTCTGAAAGAATTTTCCAGAATTCATAGCCCTAACTTTTTTTAAATGAATTACTCAGTACTCCTAGTTCTGCTCTGCTCTGCATAATTCCTAGAGTTTGTTAAAAGAATTTAAACCCACTGGTTGAATTATGGAACAGTTTGCTACTTGGCTACATGTTTTGATTCCCAGAGATCCTATCAATGCCAGCAATAACCAAGAATTCTCATCCAGAAATGCTATTATCAAGACCTAACAATTACCCAGAATACTGTATAAGTGGTATTTAATCCGAGTGGTTAATTTTCCGAATGGTCAAATATCATCATTTTCCTAATTTTAATTTTCCTAATGACAAGAAACCTCCCATTGGATAACATTATAAAGACAATATTTCCGACATTTAATTTTCCGAACCTGGAAAAAATTAGGGAATAGGGAAATTAAATGATTAGGCAAAATTACCACTTATACAGTAGTATTTTATTTACCCATAATATCTAGTTGTAGTAGTACATATCCCAGAGTTCTGATCTCCTCAAAGTTTTTCAATCGATATGATGTCTTCCAGGTAATTGATGAATCTTTAAACTACAGAGATCTGATGATCAGCTTTGAGAACAGCTTGAGATCGAAGATGTTAGAGGAAGGATCAAGCGCTGAACTTGAAATCATGGGGATCAATGCCTTTAGGGGATTTCTTGATGAATTCAATAGAAAAAAAGAAAATAGGGAATTCAAGGAATTAAAGAAGGATAATAGGACCAGAAATGAAGCTAAACAATGGAAGAAGGACAAGAAGAAAAAAGATCAAATCTATGTAAGTGAACAAGAAAACTTAATATCTAGCATTGAGTACAAGATATCTCCAGAGTAGAGTATTTGCAAATATGTTACCAACTATAGTGCATCCTTTAATGGAAGGTAATTAAAGTGCAAATAAAAGTGTTATATGCACTTTTAACTCCCAGGGCCTCTTATTCAAAACTGAAAGTAAAGGTACATCAGGTTGGTAAGTGCCGTGGAAAGTTTTATTATGCAATATATAGTTGAATGACCTGTTGACTACTTTCGAGTTGAATGACAATAGTAATAATTATGAAAGTGCCTTTTGGTAATAACTGCAATATTCAAATATATGTTCATGAGAAGGGATAATATTTATTGTACATATTACTTAGTTTAGTTAATGGGTCAATTCATTAAGCTAGAAGTAATTTCTATGAAAGTAAAGTTCCATCATGTAAGTGATTGTAGTCAGCAGTGAGATGTGTTAAGAATTTGATTGGTTTAGGTTCGATAAATGAATTCAGCCTCTTTTATGTATAATGTACACCTGCTGAAAATGTCAACTCAAATGGTTGAGAAATCTTGAAATGGCAGACCAATTCCCAGAATTTAATGATCACCTTGTACTTATATTTTACCTAATAAAGTACATCCTTTATTAGCTGATGAAAGTTCTCTATGCTTAAGAACCCTTACCCCCCATTGCCTGCAATATTGGTATTAATTAATTATCACCAACAACTTCATAAAAACATTATCCAACCAAACGAAATTGTGTAGGTGTACATATAGGAGTTTGCTTAAGAAGAAATGTTCAGACCACATTCTCTGTAATTAGCACTTGACCACTTAGAAAATTTAAAATACCCCCTTCATATAAGCACCCATATGTGAAAAAGTCAAAAATTCTGGAAATTTCATTTATGGCAATTTTTGGGCTCAGACCTGCAACATCAGAATGAAGTAAGAGCATATTTTTACAATAATGATATGAATTGTCATTGGAAAGTTTAAGGTAAAGATCACTAAAATGAACCAAGAATTTAAATAAACAATATTGAACAATTTTATTGAAACATTTTACTCTTAAGTAAATGAACTTAAGTACCAGAGTGATGAATTTACTCAGAAATATTGAAGAAATCCCCAGAGGAGCCCCCCGAATTAAAGGAACTGCTTTCCCAGACTATTATCCCATCGAACAAAGTTCGGAGGGATATAGGGCACGCCTCTGTCCATCCGTCCGTTTTAGGTAGGCATGGCACATTGTCTTATAACACTTTTGAGAGTAGCTGGCCATTTTGACGTGAGTTATTTTACATTTTTTGCTATAATAACCCAAAAAGTAATAGAGCGATTTTGTTCAGATTTGATATGTGAATACTCATAAGCATGGCACAATGTCTTATGACATTTTGGTAGTAGGCGGCCATTTAAAAGATGGCTGACATTTACATGTTCATCTGTGCGATTTTTTAAAAAATTTTATATGTGCCTACTTAAAAGCATATTACTTATGATGACAATTTGGCTACTGAGCAACCATTTTGAAAATGGTGGCCTTTCTTATGTATAACCTATGCTATAAATCTTCATGTACATTCAAATTACAAAGTTTACATTTGCCATTACTTTTACCCCATACAGAGTAATTGGATTCAAGGCAAAAATTGTTGGTTCTTGCAAGAAATTTGAGTCTATAGAACCATAAAAAAGCTGTTGAAAAGCCCCCATTGTATGTAGTTTAATATGTTATTTTACAATATTTGCTATACATTTCGGTCGTAAAAATACCAGCCATTGCTGTTCGATTGGATTTGCTTCGCTTTGGCGTTGCAGTTGTCTAGTTTTCATTATTTCCACTATAGACTGTTGGATATTGATTTTAACATATACTTTATGGTTTTAATTTAATGATAATCATCATTTAAGGAGAAATGTTAGAAAGGATCGAGAAAGTTCATGACCTTTACATGGGCAAGAACCAAGCTTTATTGGTTAAATGTTGAAACAATACTCTTCTTCATACTATTTTGGAAGAATTTTAGTTTAGTATGGTGTAGAAAGTACCCAATGATAGATATTTATCGGAAGGATGCATCGAATCACAAAATGCGACACCTTATCACTTGATAACTCTAATACCAGTGGTCAGATTGGTCAAGATTTTGTTCTGAATTTTTATGTAAGTTTCATAGTTTGCTAGTGATTGTCATGTTCTAAATCTCAAAATAATACAACAGATCAGCCATTGCTACTGTCATTTTTATTATAATATTATTTTACAAAAACAAGGTTTTATTATCCCACCGAACGAAGTTCGAGAGGGATATAGGAAAGCCGTCCGTCCGTCCGTCCGTTCGTCCGTCGGTCCGTCCGTCCGTCTGTTTGTCCGGGCGATAACTCAAATACCGTTTCACGGATTTGATTCAAATTTTATAGGCTTATGCCTTATGAGTGTAGGACCTCTGCTCGAGAAGGAATTTTCAATATGGCCGCTCAATTCAAAATGGCAGCCATTTTTCGTAAAAAATGTAATCGTTGATAACTCAAATACAAGTTGACAGATTTGGTTCAAATTTTATATGCTGATGCCTAGGGACAAAGGAGTTTCGCGGATTTGATTCAAATTTTATAGGCTTATGCTTTATGAGTGTAGGACCTCTGCTCGAGAAGGAATTTTCAATATGGCCGCTCAATTCAAAATGGCAGCCATTTTTCGTAAAAAATGTAATCGTTGATAACTCAAATACAAGTTGACAGATTTGGTTCAAATTTTATATGCTGATGCCTAGGGACAAAGGAGTTTCGCACAAAAAGAGATTTTCAAGATGGCCACTTAATTTTAAAATGGCGGCCATTTTTCGTAAAAATATGTAATCTTTGATAACTCAAATACCAGTGAACGGATTTGGTTCAAATTTTATATGATGATGCTTAGGGACACAGTTGCTATGTTCGACAAAACATTTTTAAGATGGCCGCTTAATTTCAAAATGGCGGCAATTTTTCGTAAAAAACGTAATCTTTGATAACTCAAATACCAGTGAACAGATTTGGTTTAAATTTTATATGATTATGCCTAGGGACACAATAGCTCTGTTCAAGAAATAATTTTCAAGATGGTGGCTGAATTTCAAGATGGCGGCCCATATTCGTAAAAAACGTAATCTTTGATAACTCATATACCAGTGAACGGATTTGGTTCAAATTTTATATGCTGATGCCTAGGGACAAAGGAGTTTCGCACAAAAAGAGATTTTCAAAATGGCCTCTTAATTTCAAAATGGCGGCCATTTTTCGTAAAAATATGTAATCTTTGATAACTCAAATACCAGTGAACGGATTTGGTTCAAATTTTATACGATGATGCTTAGGGACTAGCTATGTTCGACAAAACATTTTCAAGATAGCCGCTTAATTTCAAAATGGCGGCAATCTTTCGTAAAAAACGTAATCTTTGATAACTCAAATACCAGTGAACAGATTTGGTTGAAATTTTATATGATTATGCCTAGGGACACAGTAGCCCTGTTCAAGAAATAATTTTCAAGATGGCGGCTGAATTTCAAGATGGCTGCCCACATTCGTAAAAAAACGTAATTTTTGATAACTCAGAGACCAGTGAACGGATTCGGTTCAAATTTTATATGATGATGCCTAGTTCACAATGGTATAAACTAACTTTGTGCCAAATTTCATGCTTCTATCACAAAGTGCACAAATATTTCAACATTTACACTAGCTATAATAAGCATAATATGTTTTGTTCGGTGGGATTTGCTACTCCGTGGAGTTGCTGTTTTTCTAGTTTTGATATGGTATCCTATACAAACACCACAGTGACGAATTAAAATAAACATATTCTTTACTCTGTAATTGCTGTTTCCTTTTGTGTCATAAACAATTTTTTTGTAATATGGCCACAACTGAATAAATACATTTTATGTATTCCCATAATCCAAGATACAGTGTATAATAAATTCTGTCTTCCTTATTTGTAAAAAATTTTGGTTTATTGATTATCATATTTTCATTCCAGGAACACCTAGGCCACAAGTTCTCCACCGTCCAGTTCAACATCCATACGTACTGTGAGGTCTGCTCTAGTTTGCTTTGGATGATGGAGAAGGGATACTCATGTCAAAGTAAGATACAGGATGACACAATGATATTCAACAATTCAGGAATCTCCTCTCATTATTTATTCATGCTTCAATGGATTCAAACATTTAACACAATGAGATGATAGAGTACAAAGGGCAGCACTTAAAACTTGAGCAACACAGACCAACTAGAAATAATTGCATACTGGTGTTGTAAATAATTGTTTTTCACGTCAGTGTACGAAATGCATGTAAGTGCACATTCCTTCATTATCTGATTCAATATCTCTACAAAAACATACATGAATATAAACTCTTATTTTCCAGTCTGTAAATTTACTTGCCATAAAAAATGTTGCTCAAAGAACACCAGTCCATGTAGTAATAAGCGAAACCCAGCAGACCGAGCAGAAATGGGTGTGTTTGGAGTGGAATTAGAGACACTATGCTCCGAGGAGCATGTAATACCTGTGATTTTAGAGAAGTTGATTGCTGCCTTGGAAGTTAATGGTATATATACAGAAGGTATATACAGGAAAAGTGGGTCTGCAGCTAGAATCAAAACACTCATCAAAGATATTAACACAGGTACATACAATTGGTCTTGCTCATATTAATATTTTGCGTATTTGGTATTTATGCATTACAGTATATGGCTGACTCACCAATGAGTCCAAGCAATATAGTGCCATAAGCATTATTTTTTAGACCCCAAGCTATAAGAACAAGCACCTGAACTCATAGTTTCTCCCAGCAAATACAATATTTAAAGTTTAAAACATAGTTGCAATGAAGACAGTTATCTTAAAAGCAGAATCAGATCTATTATAGGGGGTGACAAAATTGCAAGTAGCGTGTACAGTTAACCTTCCAATGTAATCCTTACAATCTCAAATCTCCCAAAAGATCCACAATATGTTATAATTTGGTGAAGTTGTTAGCACACATGGAATCACTCACTTGTCCATCTGTCTGTCCGTTGGTCTGTCAACAATTGGCCCGTTTTAAAATCTCTGTCAATAAGATTCCCGTTTTAAGTTAGTTTTGTTCAACATTAATATATAAACACCCCTATGACTTCTGGTTCAAAAGCTATTTTCAAAATGGTTTCAGCATTGGTTTGTCTATCTGTCTCGCAAAATCCACTTTTGGACCATTTGTTTTAAACCTCTGTCTATTGGATTCATGTTTTAAGTTATTTTTGTTTAACATCAATACAGAAAACCCCACTATGACTTCTGGTTCAAAAGCTTGCTTGTTTTCAAAATGGCCGCTAAAGCTTGCTTGTTTTCAAAATGGCCGCTATTTTTGTCTCGCAAAATTTACTTTTGGACCATTTGGTAGCTTAAGAAAGAATTTCAGGTATTCTGCATTGAAAAAAGCGTAGTTTTATGAAATAATTTTGTTAAAAAAATACGCTAAAACTTATATCAGGTTTTTTCAGCCGTTTTTGTCAATTCAGTAGCTTTATAACCAATTTCAGGTGTTCTGCATTGTAAAACAATTGGCAAAAAATTAATTCTGTTTATATATTTGTATCATTCATTTTTCTCCTGAGCAATACCATGTGAGCCCAGTACCCACGGTTCTATTTATTTTAGTTTCAAAATGGTAAAATGGGGGAAAACATTTATAAGTTCTCCATAATAAATATGATAACCATATTTATAGAAAAATGAATGCATTATTGAATTATTGAAAGTTTTCCTCAAATAAAGTAATTTATTATGCACCTTGTCTAGATACTGAAATCGGATTGGTTCTAAGCTGCTGGTAATTTGGCCATATCTGGCTTTATTTTAAAACTGCCCAATATTTTTTTGAAATTGCCCAATATTTTTTTGCAACTAACCAAAATTTTTTTCAATGATTTTCCACTTAAGAGTTTTATTTCTTGATAACTCAAGTTCTACTAAAAGCTAACATCAGAAACTGATGGCAAATAGAAGAAAAAAGTGTACTTAATCAATCGTAATTACCCTTATCATTCAAACATTACGCATAATTCTGCAAGAATGCCTCAAATAAATGTAAATTAAATCCCGGGATAGTACAACGCTTTTTCATTCGGTGTTTAGCTCATGTTTTTAGAAAAATCAAAAGTTCTAAAATGTAAGTACATCGAAGCACACTCAAAAGATTGATTAAGAAGGTGCATAATAAAACAAATACTGGATGATCAGGAGCTGGATATGGCAGAATACCTATTCGAGAAACAAATATTGGGCGAGGCGTATAATATACACCTTTGAGACTTTTAGAAAATAGACATGACAAGGAATGACATGAGCCCAGAATGTTCAAAATTGAAACAATTTTTGACAAAAAAGTACACTTAATCAATCAATCAATCTAGTATAACAGTTGAACGACTTATCAACAGATATGTAATGCAAAATATCAGTGAAATATTTATACAGGGTACCCATAAAGTCTACACCTTACAAACACTTTGTACTGTAATTGTAAAGAGACAAAACATTAAGTATTAACCATCGCTACATATATTTAAATGTATATCTCCAGATATGAAATCTGTGCATTTTGAAGATTACTCTGTACATCTATTGGCTGGTGTGATAAAACAGTTCTTCCGGGACCTCCCTACTCCCCTGCTGACCTTTGACCTATACGATGAGTTTCTGCGGGTTTCAGGTACATTCTTTACAAGACATTTGTTGTCCCAATGTTACCCAAATTTTGATAGGTATATAGCAAACCTCCCGATCCATCTGTCTTTTTCCATATTTTCTTCATTAGATTATGGGGTAGTAGTACTTTCACACAAAAATACTTTAAGATAGCCACCACTTTGAAAATTTGTGAAATTTTCGTGGTCCATCATTTTGTAACTGTGACATCATTATATCCATGGTTACGGTAAGTAACTTTCTGTTAATTACCCCTGACTCTGTATGTTTGTTGTTTTTATATCATCAGCTCATTCTGTTTTTGTTGTTATCATACATATCATTATGTTATGTCACCAACAGGAAGTGGTTACATTCCTAAAGCCATTATATTATTATTGGTTCATGTGATGAGTCTATAGAATCACCCTTTATTAATTCATATTTTCTTCAAAAATTTTGAGAGAAATGTCTAAACCTTTTATTATCCCATCGAATGAAGTTTGGAGGGATATAGGGAATACCTCCATCCGTCCGTCCTTCCGTCCGTACGTACGTACGTCTGTCCGTCCGGGCAATAACTCAAATACCGTTGGCCCGATTTTGTTCATATTTTGTACACATATACCCTATGGGGGTAGAAGTTCTGCTTGAAAGCGGATTTTCAAAATGGCCACTCATTTAAAAATGTCCGCCATTTTAGTACCCATTTTTCAGTAATTTAGGTGAAATATGTAAAACTGTAATAGCAATATGTTTTAAATGTAAAACAAATTATGTAGGACATTAATAAAGCTAGAAATGTAGATATTGAAGAAGCACATGGAAGCCATCTTGAAAAATGGCGGCCTCTACTTGTTATTTTACGATTTTTGCTGTAACTCGAAAAGAAGTGGAGCAATTTTGTTCATATTTGGTATGTGAATACTGTAAGCATGGCACACTGTCTAATGACACTTTTGGTAGAAGGGTGCCATTTTGAAAAATGGCTGCCATTTTTGCTATATACTTTGTTTGTAAAAATGCCAGCTATGGCTGTTCGATGGGATTCGCTACGCTTTGGCGTTGCCGTTGTTCTGGTTGTGACAGGAGTTAGGCATTAGAATCAGTTACAAGTGTCACACTTTCCCAGATGACATTATATTCTTTTCTGTCACTATTGAAACAGAAATCTTATAATACATTATAATATTTATTTGTTCATTTGAAATGTTTATTTCAGAACTTGTAAATCCAAAGGAGGTATCAGAATGTGTGTTTTCTGTGCTAAAGAAACTGCCTAAAGCACATTATGACACACTGGAGAGACTCATGTTCCATTTGGCAAGGTATATACCCTTTTAAAATTTATGCAATAGTTATGACACTGTATGTAAAATACTACACACTGACCATAGAAATTGTAACTTTTCTGTGAAAATGAACTGAAAATGAACTAATCTAGCTTTAGAGTGCCTCATTATCAAATGCTTTAATATTGCCTTGTATATAGTCAACTACAGATTATATTCTGTCATACTTAGGGTGGCCCAGAATGAACAGAGTAACAAGATGTCATGTACTGGACTGGCTATAATATTTGCCCCATGTATACTGAAGACTAGTAAACTATTGCCTGCTCAGGAGAGTTTGAATCATGTCCCAAAGCAAACAAGGTTAGTAGATACCATTATATTCAGCAGTATTGAAATGATTCTCATTTTCAGTAGCATGTAATTGATGCTTAAATCTTTGACTTAATTAGAATATATTTTTTCTGAGACTGAAAAAATTATCATGTTTTCCTGTTTTTTTTTCAAAAAGCTATATGTCATTGCAGACATCGACAGTAAATGAAATGATGTGTTAAAATATCATGCTAACACCTATGTTCGTCAAATGTTTTTCCCTTAGCCTGTTTCAGTGCTGTGCGGAGAGACATTATTTCTTTGGAGGGGAGATTTGTTCTTGTTAAAATTATTTAAATAGTTTTTCCTCCAGAAAGTTGAGCCAATTTGTTATCAAAATATATGTTCATGTGCTCTGTGAAATGAGCCGATTCTAAACTATATTTTGTCCATATCTTCTGTTAGGTGTGTACAGGCAATTATAGAAGGCCGTTTATCCAATCTGGAGAGTACACTTGAGGACATCAAGACACTGGAGACAGCTTCGGCAACAGCATCTGATCGTCTCACCTTTGTCAGGGCAAGCATTAGAAAGTCAGCAATCAAAAAAGAAGGTTTACTCAAGGTAACAAATGAGTCAGTTATCAGTCACTTATCAGTTTTCTAAATATTGATATTTAATATAAAATTTATTGATGATTTTGTCTAAATAAGGTGTTTTCTTCATTCATGTATGTTGGTAGATCTATATTATGGAAATGATGAATGGATCGTTTAGATTACATTCATAGACAAATACCTTGTAATATTATGACAAAAAAACGTGCATTTGGGACATACATTGTCAGACTTTGAATGAATAATCTCTAGCGAAATGGTAATGATACTTGACGTCATTGATACATGAAAGTGCGTAAGAGGCTAATTATCCCAACAAAGTACATGTAAGGTACTTTTCACAGAAAATGAAAGCATGGTAGAAATGCAATAACTATTTTTCTGTCAGTCCGTCCATCTCTCTACTACTAGATTAGTAGAGAAATCTTTCTCCATGTTTGAATAGTTCAACGGAAAAAGTATTTTATTCAAGATGGCTATCACTTTGAAATGGCATCAATTTTTTGCAAAATTATTGACCAGAGGAATGAGGATTTCTGTAATTCTGATTCTTTATCTATATCCATGCTTTGATTAGTGACCATGTAAGAATGTAGCTATTTCACCAAAGAAATCTGAATTAAAGTTCAATCTATATTGAATGTGTTTTTGACATGGAAATCCAAACATGGCAATATAATTCAAAACGTTTTTTGAGGTCAGAGGTCGCTATAAGAACTATGAACCAAAGCAGACATAATGTCACTATTTTCATTACTTTATGAATCTTATAGAAATACAGCTATATGAAGCTCACAATTTGAACAATGTACTTGTTTGTCGTTAAGAATGTTACTAGAACGGACCCTTGTAATCATATTGATATTCATATAGTGATATTGAAATATACAAATTATAATTTGGTGTTAATGTTAAAACACAAAGTATCAAAATTATTTAATAAGAATTATAAACGAAGCAATTAACACATATATGATTCTTATTAAGCAATTAATACATAAATGATAATGATTTATACAAACATTTTTGTTCTATTGAAGAAATTACCTACTGCCTGACTATAACAAAAGAGATGTAACTTTTGAAAGTGACACAGATATTTCCTGAAAATAGAATGAAATATTTGTTTTATTATTCACTGTTATCAATGTTTCTCATTCTGTAACAAGGGAGAGGAGATATTAAACAATGAAGTATCACTCAATATAGTGTTCACTCTTCAGAATAAGGCTTATGTACATACATATCATAGGCCTTGTTCTGGAGTTGGGATACTGAAACACTCTACTATACCTTGCATTTGGTGTTCATGAGCAACCCATTTGGCTTATTAGTAATCATTATATTATTTGTTTTTATCGTACCTAACAAGAGGTACGATATTGTAGTCAGCTTCACGGGCGGCGGGCGGCGTCTCACTTTCAAGACTTGTCTACAGGTTTCCAGCCAAACCATTTGAGGGATTCATCTGAAATTTTCAGGGATGTTTCTACATATCAACGTCAAGAACTGATTAGTTTTTTGGCATTCTGGGTAAATTTTAAGGTGGCCATTTTGGATTTTCCGTCCTAAAATCTTCACTTTCAAGACTTGTCTACAGGTTTTCAGCCAAACCATTTGAGGGATTCATCTGAAATTTTCAGGGATGTTTCTACATATCAACGTCAAGAACTGATTAGTTTTTGGGCATTCTGGGTAAATTTTAAGGTGGCCATTTTGGATTTTCCGTCATAAAATCTTCACTTTCAAGACTTGTTACATATGTTACACAGTGATAAGTTCTAGAGCTGATTAACTTTTCTGCGGCCATCTTGCTTTCTTGGTCAACAAGACCACAATGCTGTGTTTTAGGTACGATATTGTTCACGTCTGTGCCTTGTTATTTTGTATGTTCCTTATTTAATGGTTTATAGGATGACTATTAGATGGTAATAAGGTACTTTCAAAAATATACTAAAAGATACAATGAGACAAACAGAGTATCTTATGCATTTCTAGGGGTTAGGTATAGTAGAGTGTAAACATAATGGAGGAAATATTTGCTTTTTCAAAATGAACTTATTTACAAACGAACTGTCTGTAAGCACCACTTGTAATATACGAGGGTTGTCCCATAAGTCTTGAAATTTTTATTCGTAATGCATGGAAATGAGATAATGGTATTTCATATATTGCAGACATAAAATGAATGGTTGTGAGTGAAAAATACTAAATAATTTTGGGAAACATAGATCTCTATTTCTCATCCCTCCTTTGAATTTTTTTGTCAGATATTTCATTTGATTTTCCGATGTTCAGTTGAGGACACTCTTGCATAAACTTTGATTTTGCCAAAGTAAAGGCTTTCTAGAGAAATTCCTAGGAAGCCCACGCCAAAGATTGAAGCAACTTAATGAAAAATACTGGACATATAAGTCCTTGGCACACAGTTCCTTTGACATCGTATTATGAGGAATATGTGGGCTGCTCTGGATTTTCTAGAGATTCAAAATTCATCTTTTGAATTTGTATTGTAGCCAAATGGTGGAACGGACCGACTACCATCACATAGTGAGTCAATAGCAGAAGAGAATGAGGTGGACCAGTCTCTGATGGAAGAAGAGGAAGCTCTTAGTGCCCATATGCAAAACTTGGAAACTGAAAAGTATGTTTTCATAGGACAGTCTTAAGTTTGTCAAATCTACCCTAAATCCCTGTCAGCTTTTCATACATATTGTAATATGACGTATTTTCAAGAACCTTGACAATAAAATAATAATATGTTATATATTTATATACAGTATTTATTAATATAGACTATTTCTGTCATATACGTCATTCTTCTAATAACTGTCTTACATTACTCACCCCACTTATAATATCCCAGCCAGAATTATAAAGGTAAATAATGAGAAAATCCCAATGAGTCAAATTTATTAAAATCCAACATGCACTAAAATATCACATGTTTCCAGGGACTTACTCACAAGCAACTTACGCGCTCTTGAATGTCGACTCGCCAGCTCCGATGATGACATGCTAAGTGGCGATGAGATTGACAGTCCAGATGGTGGTGATATCTATGCAGACTATACGAACAACTTTGATCTTCCAGGTAAAAAGAAAATAAATTTTTGAATGAAATATATTTCTGATTGATGGCTCTGTTTAAATACTATAATTTTAAGCGGTGGTAGTACAGGGTGTTCCAGAGATAATTTGGGTAAAAACGTCTTTCTGGACCACCATGTTTACATTAAATACATTGAGTGAATGCTTAGAATTATTTCTTACTCAAGTGCTATCATGCTTTACAATACTTCACTCTGTGTATCACATGTATTGTTTCTTATACTTGTCTACCAGTCTTTTCTAAATTAACAATAAAAAGGTGTTGAAAATTGATTGTGCTTGTCATGAAACGTGCATCAATATCACACTACCAATTATTTGACATCATCTTGATAGATGTCTTATTCATTTCGAAGAGGGTTTTATTTAACTTTTGATAACAAATCTAGGCACTATTCACACAAAGAGGGTTCATTACTAATACAATATAAAATTTAATTTAGATTTAAATGATCTTTTTACTTTTCATTCCAAACTGCCCTGCTTTTGTCAGGCCTAGTCTTCTCTAAATGGAAAACTCATTTTGGGTGAGGCTGTAAGTCCATTCATTATTGTACAATGCATCTGTAAGCCATGTTGTTGTGTCTTGCCCTGCTTATATATATGACTATATTGGAATTTTTAATGTAAAGTTCATCACATATCTTCATTTTAGATTTTTCATTTGATTTAATTATTAAAAAGTGTATTGGATTTAATTTCCCAGTCTGTTTAATTTTTTTTTTCGTTATTGCCAACATAAAATTCGTATTCATGATCTAATATATTCCTATTGATGTCATATATGTCAACTATAATCATGGCATGACATCATGTGACATCACTGACATATACACAAAGATTATATGTGTTTTTTCTCCTTGCACTAGAGTGCACATAATAAAAAATGAAACACATGTACAAGGCATGTAACACGTGAATAGCAGTTTTGACTTGGACATTGCAACACTACCTCCTTTCAATTAAAATATGTCATGTTCAAACAGCTTATTCTACAGAGAGTATATTTCATGCTTGCAGTCTTTTTTTGGTTTGTTTGTTGTTCATTGTAAACTTAAATCCATTTTAGCATTTCCATACTTACATACTATATTTAATTATTCTAATTACACTACCAATAATAGAGTGGAGAATATTAACAGTGAATAATAAAACAATTATTTCATTCTATTTCTAGTGCATACCTGAGTCATGATTTTGCAAGGTATACATGTATATTTGCAAAATTATTTTTAGTCCAACATATTAAAAAGGTTTTTGGTGATATGATGACAATGATAATGATTGATGTCGTTTTATTTAAAAATTTGTTCATTGTAATTTAATTATGCTGCATGCTGTAGGTACTTGCTGAAAATCTGGAAAAAACTGTTTTATGTCACCACCAGAAGTGGTGACATATTGTTATAGTGAACATGAGGTTTGGCAGTTGGTGTCTTGTCTATAATGGCATATAATGGCTTGTCTAAATGGCATTTGGTGATTGGCATGTAGCAAAAGGAAATCAGTGGTTGGTATCTAGCAAATATAGTTCTGCGGTCGGCATCTGTAACAAATGGCAGGTGGTGACATTTTGCATGTTAATTTCTTGTCTATACATTATTAATGATGATAATTACCTTTTATTAGTATTTCTCAATTTCAGTTACACAATGTATGTCTGTCACTTCTCCCAGGTTGTTCTATTGTATTTTTCACCATATCATTACCGAAGTACATCTTTAGAATCATGTTTAGTTAAGCCTTCTGATGTGAATACTATAAGCCCAGAAAAATACCTATTCGTCTTTGGTTGTTGAAAAAAAAGATATTTTCGGGAGGAGGTAAATGGCGATTTCATTAGTGAAAAATGTTAATTGTTTGAAAAAATTCAAGTGAAAGGAGTATGCTTCTTTTTCCCACAACTACAATCAATATTTGGAGAAAATTTCTTGGCCTTATTTCTAGTTTCATCTAGGTCATGAAACACCATAGATATTTCCAGGGGTCTTGCTCTGGGCACTTGTTATGTCAGAGCCCTCTATTGTATGAATAATGAATCAACACCACTTTGCAGGGCTTCATCCTAGCATCCATGACGCTGTATTTGTGTGACCTTGTCCAGGTGGAGGTATTCACCTTTCACAACACATCTTGCATGGCCCACGCTGGTTTTAATTCGGGCTCTCAATTTGGGATTAATTTGAGACTGAATCTGCCAATTTTTATTGGATGTTGAGTTTAATTTTATTTTTTATTTGTTGTGGTTTAATTTTAGATTTAAGAATGGGTTGGTTTATTCATTCATTTTAATTACAGTTAAACTTCAAATCAACACACCAAAGTTTATGATCAGCATTTGTTGAACCAAATTAATATAAAATTATCAATATGGGGTTTTACTACTCGTTTATACTCCATATGTATCCTGGATGCCCACTGGCTAATTTAGCCAATGTGATATGAAATAGATGAGCTAGCACTCTGGAAAGTCCCAAAACTCTGCTTGTAGGAAAGATGAAAAGTACTCAAGTTTAAAGCCTTTCATTAATCACCCATTTTTTCCAAAAGCTTTGTACTTGGAAATTTGAACACATTTAAATAGATAAAAAAAAATAAGTCCCACGGTAGAATCTAAACATTAACTTGAATTGAGAGCCCTGCACATAATAAGCATGCAACTAAAATGCTGAGATAAACTGAACTGATTCAAGTACATGATAAGTAGGCTACTTGTTGCAGGAAACAACATCCAATAGCACAAACCATAAAGCCTAAAACCTCGCCAATCATGCTTAGATATGAGCTTTTCAATTTTCTTTGTTATCCCATCAAATGAAGTTGGAATAGTGAAATAGAGAATTTGTTTGCCTGTCTGTCTATTCATCTGTCAGGATGATAACTCATAAACCAATGAACAGATTTAGTTAAAATATCATAGACTGATACCCTTTGGGAATGAGACTTCTGCTGTAGAAGGAATTTCCAATATGGCCACTCAATTGGAAAAATGCCACATAAATCTTGTCATCAGAAATCCAGGAAAACTGCTCATCTGCTCAACCTGAAATGTTTACAGATGCAAGAGCAGGTTTTAGGTTTTAGGCATGCTGGGTATATTACATGGTGGCTCGATGCAAGACTACAGTAACAACTACATGTACTATATATTTTTATTTATGCTTTATTCGCAGTATGAAAATTACTTCAAATTGATGAAAATTTCCCCCATACATTATGTACTTCTTGTTTATGACTCCATCTGCCATTTGTTAATTGTTCCCCACTTAGGTGCTAATATGTCAGCGGAAACAAATTACATCAAAGTTGATTTATATAATTCTTTAAGAGAAAAATATTCTTTATGCAGTAATACATGTTTACTGTGGAGTAAAACATACCCCAGGCAAGAAGTTTCCAGTATTATCAATCATGTTTGGCCAAATACAATGTAGAATGTAAGCAGTTCATTAATTTGAGTATGACCATTTCCAAACCTGAATTCACCATTCAAAGAATGAATCCTCCTTCATGAGATCAAGTATATGTTGTTGTTGTTTTTTTCATTGTAATCATGACTTTCTGTCTTTATATTTTATTCCCATACTGTACATTGTGCTGTGACAGGGTTCGTACACACCTGGAAATGTCAGGGAAATTGATTTATTTTTCCAGGTGCTGGAAATGTCAGGGAATTTTGAAATTTGGTCAAAAAGGGCCAAAAATGTCAGTGAATTTTGAAACAGTAGATATGTCAGGGAAATGTCAGGGAATTTTGTATCATTGTTGAAAAAATAATGTTCCAGCAAAATGTATTTTAGGGCTGATGACAGGATATCAATAAAACCCAAAATCTAGAATTTAGTTGTTTCCACAAATTTGAAATCTTTTTATTAGGGTTGATTGAATGACATTCTATCTGGTATATTGTCTATTTGTAAGAACAGTTTGAACATTATACTGAAACCAAGCAATAAAGAATATACAGGGTGTCCGGAAAGTAAAGATACAAGTGCTCTTATTTTTTGCTTTTCCGTGTAGTTAGTTTTCTTGGGCCATTCAAAGTTAATTAAAGGTATATGTTGCATGTTTTGTTGAGGGGTTAATCTGAGGAGGGTGGGAGGCGAAAAACAAAAACAATTCCGGGAACTCTTTTCAATGTAAAACTGTATTTATATTAAGAAGCTGTCTGTTCAACAGTCCTGTGGTACATCACTCCATTCATCTGTCCATCTGTCAGGGTGATAACTCAAATATCAATTGACAGATTTGGTTCAAATTTTATGTTCCGATGCTTTGGTTATATAGGGCCTCTGCTCAAGAACATACTTTTGCCATTTTTCATGAAAAAAATAATTTTGAAAACATTATCAACAGTTTTTAGATTTGGTCCAAATGTCAAGGGAAGGGGAGGAAATAACCAAGAATCAAAAGAATTAAGAATCTTTCTTCATGTAAAGATGAACCTAGAGTTTTTTTTGGCTCAAATTTTATATGGTGATGCCTCAGGGACAAAGGACCTGCTCAAGAAGAAATATTAAGATGAATTCAAACAGCCACCATTTTTTATGAAATTTTTGATAATTTAAAGAAATAAGATTTCTGATAACACAAATAATATTTTGATATTTGATTTGGTATCATAGGCCTGTGCCTTTTGTGTACTTGAGAAGGAATTTCTTATATGGTATCATGTTTTGGTATAGATTTTCCCAAAAGGAAGAAGAAAATATTAATACCAGGTTTTGTTATCATATTATGTTCACAATGATCAGTATTTGATAAAATATGTTTCATTAGTTGCATGAGAATTTCCCCTCAATAGAGTTGCTATTTTTCTAGTATGATATTAGATCAAAATTTTTAAGTTTCAGTTGTCATTTGGATTTATTACAAAACATAACAAATTATAGTTTGAAATGCTAAGAATGCACCAAATACAATGAAAAACCCCCTTTTTGGTTACTATCTCTCGCAGTGATGCAAACCCAAAGAATAGCACACCCTTGACATTTGCTGGCTACGCCCTTGTACTTGATGTATGTTTACCTTTGGCCTTATGGAATGCAAAAATATTAAAAATAGTGTGTATCAGGAATAAATTGGTGAATAAACTTAAGAAGTAAATTAAGTCATGAGAAATGGTACTAAAGGAGAAACCCACTATGTTTCATAATAAGTCTTGTCTTTTAATTATTACAGTTGTCTGAGACTTTTTATGAGGCCGTGCATGCAAAACTAGATCTGGAAATTTCCTTTCTTGCCTGGAAATGTCAGGGAATTGTCAGGGAATTTCATTTTGAAAAAGGTGTACGAACCCTGTGTGAGCTTAAAGCACCTCATGGTAAAATCTTTGCCTTGTTATTACAGTCATACATGACTCTATGTTGTATCCATGCCCTGATTATACCTGGAGCTAATTGTGCTCTGTGCTGTGCATACATTCAGATATTTTATTGCTTTCATCCATAGGGGTATTTGTCCATGGTGGTGTGTATGTATGACATTCATGAAAAGAGGTATAATCTGTTGGAATTATTATACTTCACAAAGAAAAATATCTAGATAATCAATCAGAAAAACAAATATTTATCCAGAGCTCCAGCTAAAATTATTAGCAATGTACCTACAGAAATGATATTTCATTGATTTTATTATCCCACCAAATGAATTTTGATTTGGGATATAGAGAAGATGTTCATCCGCCTGTCTGTTTTCCATATTGGTATAGGACCGCCGCTCAAGAAGAAATTAAAGATGTAATGTTTGATAGATTGATTACATTGATGGATTTAATTAAGATATTATAAGCTGATGTCTTAAAGAGCTATGCTCGAAAAAAAGTTTCAACATGCTTGCAACAGAAATAGAACCTTTTTGAGAGGAAAGGACCGTGAGTTGTTTGTAGAATAAATCGAGGGAGTTTTTTCATGTATTTCTCTTGTGTTTTTCATCTAAAAAAGATCAATACACTTTAAAAATGTAATTGACTATAAATGCACGTTCAGGCTAGGCGATTGGGCGCCGTTACCACGAGGTTGCGAGCTGGAGACGCGTGTGCTCCTTGTGTTTATTCATTCATGAGATAACAGGAAAGTTAATCATTAAAACACACCTTATTGGGTTGTTTTGGTTTATATCACAACCCAATAAGCTGTGTATTGATGATTAACTTTCCTGTTATCTCAAAATCTGCTTGGAACTATACCATTGGATTACTATGGGAAATTCTTCGAAGAGAAAATTCTAGGGATTAAGAAATGGGATTTTTTTTGGTGCAATCAATTAGCCAATAAAATGTTTTCAAGTGTATTGATGTTTTTAGATGAAAAACAGAAGTGAAATGCATGAAAAAGCTAAAGCTCCCCAGATTCATTCTACAAACAATTCCTTTCCACATGAGCTGCTATAATACAAAACTCAAATACGACTTTGGTCGTTTGGGGTACACAAAATGTTTGTGCCTAGTAGTTGTCAGATTTTTTTCCGATTTCACATTCTCTTACTTATGGCTATAGGGCACTGCACAAGGAGAAAATTTTCAAGATGGCTCCTGGATTCAAAATGGCCATCATTTTTGGGAGAATTAATTTTTCTGGTAATGCAAAAATCTTTATCAAACTTTGTCCAAATCTCACAAGCTCTTGCCATATGGTCATTAAGGTTCTACTCAAAAGGAATTAATCATCATGGTTTATTCAAAATGACAAGTGATTTAATTGATGAAATATGTTTGTTTGTTGGGATTTGCTACCTGGAGCTGCTGTTTTTCTAATTGATATATCCCAAGGATGGATAATTTTGAGATATTATTTTTCATGCGTTCTATTTGTTTTTCTGATTCTTGCTGCACTTTATGGATATAATTTAGTTATAAGAAATAACTGCACCATCCAATAAATGTTTTATGCCCTCTTGCTAAGTTGTCTTGTTATAGATAAGATCTGAATCCTGTGTTATTCTAATATCTTGAGTTCGTTTAATGTCACCTTATAAGACATTTACAACCAACTAAATCTAATCCATGGACTTCAAGTCAACTTGAGTATCTTTATACATAATTTATTTAGTATCCATTTTACTTGGCCTACCCTTAATTCCCTATTCAGTTCAAACAATGCACATTATGTATGTTATAATGTTTTAAATCAATCCCTTTCCCTATCAAAAAAGACAGAAAGTGTTGCACATTGTATCCCTTTCCCTCACATAGTGTTGTGTTTTTGATTGAAATCAATGTTTTAAGCTGGCCCCCTCAATAACCACTCAATAATCACACAAAAACCTTAATAAACTCAGTCTAAGTTAGCATTTGCTGGTATCAACTGTTGGCTGTTGGTTACATCATGGGCTTTCAATTGGAGTCGAAAGCCCATGGTTACATCATTGGTAATTTGCATAAATTGAACTCATTATTTTGAAATAACGATCAAACTGCTTGTTAATTAACAGTTATCATGTGACTCATCATACAACTGTAACATGATCGATTTTAATAAACACTGGTGATCCACTCGATTACGCTGGTTACCAAAACGAACCGTTTTGGTAACAAAATGTCGGAACGTCGAAGGCACTATTTTTCTTTTTTCCTTATTTCACGCGTTGTAGGCAGAATCCCCATGACGTTTTTTCTCACAACGTGCAGCAGTATCATATGTTTTAGAAAATGTACATGTTTGCGAAAAAATAGCTCAGAGGACAACAGAATCGTCGATTTACTTCCTCACTTAAGTTACATAAACGGTTTTTCGAAAATCAGTTAAGATCTGCACTTTTAACCCAAACCGTTTATGTAACTTAAGTGAGGAAGTAAATCGACGATTCTGTTGTCTTCTGAACTATTTGGTCGCAAATATGTACAATTTCTTAAACATATGATACTGATACACGTTTGTGTTAAAAAATGTCAATGGAATTCTGCCTACAACGTGTAAAATAAGGAAACGAGAAAATCGTACCTTCCGGATGTTCCGACATTTCAGCGTAATCGAGTGGATCACCAGTGATAAAGCCACTTGTTGAAATACCAAACAGATCACTAGTCATTGTTGATTACTGCTTAAATAGACAGATTAAACTATTTTTAGGTCACAAGTATGTTTGACGTGATAGCTAAAAGCTATGGTGATATACAGTGGGTATTATTCATGTTTAAATGAATTAGCCATAAGTAGTCACCCATCAGTAGATAGTTGAAGTAGCGAATGCTAGCTAACTCAAAGCCTCGAGAAATAGCTCATTTCTTTCCTTTTGTTTACTTGATTGGCCATGTTTCCTTGAGGCTGTATGCAAGACTATAATGGCAGAAATCTAATAATGTAATTTAATTTTATTTTATTATTATGTAGGGTTAGATAATTTAATACTTTAACCTTTACCAAGACTGTAACGGCAGAGATGCAATAATTTAACAAAGTACAGTATTTAATTTCTAATATATGATTAAGTAATGTAATATCTTAACATGAACATTTTTATGTTTTTATAGCTCGCGCTTTGCAAATGCAATTGATTTGCTGGCTGGCCATGCACACGAAGCTTACTTTACAGGAATGGCACTTAATTTGCATAATGTTGTGCTTTTTAAATAAGAGAATCTGTACCCTCAAATCTGATACGCTGTGTTGGTCATTGAGTTAGTTTCAGGTTTGTTGGAAGACGTTCAGATCTATGGGTTCAAATTGAATGACAGACCTAATGATACTACACCCCAGGGGGCATGTTTCATTTTTTTGGCGTGTTAATTTATGAGGCACGTGAATAGTGGGAATTAATGAACACATAAACCAAAGCATCTCATTTTCTTCCTATTGAGAATCAATGTGTTCAGTCTCATGTAGTGCCTCAAGAAAACCTGATGAATTAAGCTATTTCTTGTGACTGTTAATTACGAATACTTTTAGGAATATTTTGTGATCACAGGAAAGCTATGACCAACAAACTATCAGATTTGGAAGACTGTCAAAGTTAAAACTGAATCATATTCTATTAAATTTTCTTTGTAAATAAACTTTTCTCAAACTGTCTATTCTATTATTAGCAATATATTATGGTAGCACTTTCAATCCAAAATTATTATGTGCTATTATATCTATTTTAACAGTTGTGCTAATGTTATACATGTTACCAGAAAATGTTGTTTATCAACTATGTAGAATTTGAAACCAAGCATTTTATAAGCATTTCTGAGATTTTCTTCAGTTTACAAAATACTATGAAATTACAATTCAGAGTATCCAAACATTTTTTGCGATGTTGTCTTGGTTACATTGAAAGGCAATAAGATTTCAGGAATCATGATGTAGGGTAGACTCCCACTCCTTTTATATACAAATTCTGATAATCCCATTTGTTTTTCCAGGTAGAATACCAATCAATAAGAAGAAAGGCCGTCTTCCGACCCCCATCCGCCCGCGATCTTTCCGATACCCCCCATCTGATGATGTTGACCTGGATGAAGTCTTTATTGATATGAAGGAGGTTGGAGGTGAATTTGCAGTTTAAATCAGAGAACTCTTAAGACATTGTCTCTTTAAATCAATGACAAATTACACAGGTCTACAATCTCTGGGTTCAAATCAGGAAACTCTTTGCACCTTTGCCCTTAACAGTCTAAGGACAAATGTACATGTCTCACCTCATCAAGTACAATTATCTTCAAGAACAACCTCTATGGTCTGAGAATGAGGACAATCTTTAAAAACACATGTTATTGAAGAAATGGCCAACCAAATGTGCAAACTCAGCAAAATGGTTCAGACTGTCAAGAGTTTATAGTGTATTAAGTATTTATTGAACTTGAACATAGTGAACCAAAATAAGACGAAATTCATTGTCGAAATAGAGTAGAAATGCAATATGACTTTAAATTAAAAAGCAATGACGTACAAACCATTGGAATTGTGTCTCACCTTGGAAATCTATTCTATGCACATGTTAATTCCTTACCCTGTTCTCGATGCATGCAGTATAATAATGTTGTTATAGTAATATCAGTATGTGCAGTTAAATAGATCTAAAACGTGTATATAAAATGCTGCACAGTCAGCACTCTGATCAAAGCCATATTTATGTCACCATCAAGCAGTAGTGGCTTATTTGTAACAGATTGTTACACTCTTTCAGGTGGTTACATTTTGTTAATGCCTTTTTGGAAATGGTTAAGGACAAAAAGTATGTACGTGCATTTATCTAAGTATTGGCCAGTTGGTATGGATGTTTTGTTATTTATGCATCATAAGTGTGGACATTATGGTATAAATGTGACATTATGGACATCTGTACATGTACAGTATTGGTATGGTACATCTGCACATGTACAGTATTGGTATGGTACATCTGTACATGTACAGTATTGGTATGGATATTATTGTATGTACACATATCAGTCTCAGATATTATTGTACAAAATTGTACATGTATGGTATGCATAGCTGAAAAAATATACTATCATGTCCATTTTACACACAGTACGAGGGGTGATCCAAAAGTCTTGGACGCCCTGCTCTAATTTTGTTGGTTTTTGATAAAATTACTTTAAACTTTCCAATAATAAAGAATAACATCTTAACTACTTTGTGTATTAATTTCATGGAGAAATGATATGTTTTATGTAGTTTTCTAGATGGTTTTTAATATAGGGACCCTGCCACCCGGAACGGTATTCGCACATGACAACTTTCAGCCTTAAATGTTGCCGCCATTTGACTTGTTTTGCAAGTCTTGGGCACTCACTTTATTTGAATTTTGAATGTTAAACCATGTTAGTTTACTTCCTTTGTTACTAGGTAACCAATTAATTGTGTTTTATATATATTGTCACATATGACAATGGCCATATATGTCAAATTCTAAGAAAATGACATCAGACAAGCAACCCTCATTCTGGTATCATTTCTGTTCCAAAATGGCTGCTGAAATGCAGAACATGAAAGAAATAAAACTGGAACAAAGAATACTACAAGATATTCTCACTATTATTGACCTTTAGCAGCTACCATATGCACGATACAGTCTAGATATGGCTCTGTGTGATTTTTTCCTTTTCACCAAGTTAGAAGGAGGGTTGAAAAAATGTTTTTTTATTCATTGGATGAGGTTTAGAGTGGCACTCCAGCACCATTTGTATCACATAAGGAATGGCGATTTCATAAATGTCTTCCATTCATTGGTAAAGTGGTATGAAAGATGTGTTCAAATTCATGGAAAATATGCTGAAAAGTAGGTCTTAATATGTGAAGATGAAGATGGCAGATGACACTCAGATTGAAAATCGGAAATTCTCTCATATCATGACTGGTGTTAGGTTGTGCACCTGCACCTAAAGTATTTGCCATATTATAACAGTTGTGACGCGATTTGCTATATTCAAATACCGTTCCGGGTGGCAGGGACCCAGTGTTAAAAAATATTTACCAAAAAGCTAAAATATATTATTTTCTGTTGAAACTTACACACAAAGTGGTTAAGATGTTGATCTTTATTATCTGAAAGTTTCATGCAATTATATTCGAAAATAGCAAAGTTAGAGCGGGGCGTCCAAGACTTTTGGATCACCCCTCGTATATAAAATTACTGAAATGGGAAAAATCCATGATTGAGAGATTGAGTCTTACTGATTATTTCCTTCCTAAAACAAATACATTTTGTAAGAACATTTTTATCACTTACATGAATGAACAGTCTACCTGGTGCAATTAGTAATTCACACAATATTTTAAAACATACTGCTTACCATGTGATTACAAACTGTTAACAATAGCAATAATAACAAAAAATTACTTGTTGAAAAAATCTTTTGTGTCACATGTAAATAGACTTATTATTCTGAAGAAACCTCATGAGATAAATGAATGGTGTATGCAAAATTATCTTCATTTTCAGTTGTTTTCAAGTTAAAATTTTTCAGTAGAAAATGTGCAGTATTTTTATAAAGATTACTTTGACTTTGGACTGGCAAGTGGCAAAATAACACCTGCACTGCGCTTCAGTATTGATTTGATTCATATTAGACCAGTGGCGGATCTGGGGGAGCAGAAAAAAAATTTGAGGCCAAAATTTTGCAGGGCCTCAAAAATGGGCCTTTTATGCCCTTTTAGGGTATTTTTGGCCAATTTATCAAAATGGGCTTCAATTTTTCAAAATTTTGTTCATTCCTGGATCCGCCACTATAGACTATAGAAAGGATTAATTTAAGCTCAATTTTGAATTGAAACCTACTTTAGTATATTTTTAATGTATTTAAGAGGAGAATGTGTTCCCACCATGTATTATGTGAATAGCATTTTTTGAAAACAACTCTTGCCGGGAATTGCCAAAGAGACCAGTTACTTGAAGAAAATCAAGAGATTTCTTCCTTCAAAAAGGAAAAATGAGAAGAATCCATCTCAATGTATTAATAACTTACTAGGTATTAGTGTTGTAAGAAATAGTTACATGTAACTGTACCCTTAAATTACTCATATGATGGGGTAAATGTTATATTGAAATTGAGAATCAATATGTTGTGCAAAAAATCTACTTTGAATTTTTGTCTTCTAGATGATTGAAAATTAGGGTTCTCAAGTTCACCAAATTCAACTTCAAGCATCGCTATCTCGTCAGTTCTTTCCTCATTACACATCTTCCATATATTGCATCTACAGATGGTGTAGCGTCATATATGCAGAAAACGCCATAGCGTACTTTCAAAATTACTGAATTGCCAAACACTTTAAATATGGCCAATAATTTACATTTGATTAGTCCATATTAGTCGGAATTTCATATTTTCTTGGGGAAGAGCACCCTCCCAAACTCCCCTCAAAACTCATTTGCTACGCCACTGTCTACAATTTCTGCACTGAATAGTAGAACAATTTTCTTTTCATTTCTAAATGCCCCAAAATGTGATTTTCAATATTATGTAGGAGGGAAAAAACTAAAGAAAAAGCAAATTTGAACGCTCAATCTTCACAAAGTTCTGGTTGATTGGAGCTGAGTGAATGAAGATGCTAGGACGTTACACCACAATAATGTTAATCGTCTTTGCCATTTCCTTTTGTTTTTTGAAACCTGCGATACTATAATTGCTGTTGCTGTATATGTTAATTAGGGACATCCGTTCACATGTATGTAATGAACTGATTTTTTATGTTATCTAAATCGTCTTTTTTCTAACCAGTTTTATACTTAATGGTTTTGGTATTTCCCATTTTATTGGCTCTTGAAATTACACAGTGCTACAATGTATAAAGTGAATAAAACAAGATGGGAAAATATTTGTTCATCATTTCTGACTGATAGAAGCTTTCTGTATATTCATAACTTATATTGTAATTTAGACACAACTGATAAAAATAGCTATGAAATATATGAAAATGTGATACCCATTTCTATGATTTTTAACAATTTGAGTGTTGTTTCGGCTCCTGTCCTGATGTATATCCATCAGAGCAGGAGCCAAACTAGTTCTTATATTCATTAAATCTTCAAATTAGTTGAACTCAAATGTACTGATAGAATGTAGGTGAAGGATAATGTCCAGATGTCAACAGGGAGGTTTATTTTGTTGATTCACCCACATAAGGGTAGGTCACATTTCCATGCAATAAAATCAATGTTTACCCTCAAACAAAATTTTCTCTGTTTTTTCCTCAAATGTTGGCAATTGGGCGTAATCCCTAATAAAAAATACTTCACAATCACTTGATGAATTACTTATATGCAAGGAATGTGTACTGATTAATAGCATTTTATTTACTTATGAACAAAAGCAATATGTTGACTTTTAACTAATTTTCTATTGTATATTATGTTGACAATGTACAGATTATATTTTACATGCTTATATACGTAAAGTTATGTACATAGTGATGTACAATACTGTAAAGTAAAACTATTATTTCAAATGTGTAAATACAATCTCCCAATGCCTAAAGTTGAAGACAGGTGTTATGTTTTGTCAAAAGAATCATTCTGAATTTACAAAGACTTGAAACAAGAACTTCAAAATAGCGTTGCTATGCTTCTGTCTTTATTAGCTCACATGGTGAGCTATTGCAATCACCCACTTGTCCATCTGTGTGTCCGTCGGTCCGTCCCTCTGTCAACAATTGGCCTTTTGTAAAACCTTTGTCTATAGGATTCCAGTTTTAAGTTATTTTTGTTCAACATCAATATAGAGCCCCCCCCCCCCCATGACTCCTGGTTCAAAAGCTCGCCTATTTTCAAAATGGCCGCCATTTTTGTGAGCATTCTAAAAATAAATGTATATAATTTAGTCTTATACTTATAAGTAGCTTTACACATAAACATGAGTTTTGCTTTCACTTATAAGCGAAATCTCTGATATCTCATGAAACTACTGTTAACAATGACACGTGTTTTTACAATACAGGGCAAAAGAGAATTTTAAACCACAAAAATTGTGGCCATTTTGAAAATAAGTGAGCTTTTGAAATGGCCGGGAATAAAAATGCTTCAATATTGTCTTTTACCGTCTGTGTTACAGAATTATTATTAATAAACTATTGTTCACAGTGACATGAAGTTTTCAATGTAGGACACCTGAACTAATTTATATTTAGATAGTAAATGGTCAGAAAGTGAATTTGCGAGATAAGAATGGGGCCATTGAGAAGAGGCGAGCCTTTGAACCATGGCTTCGTTGTATGGTAAATTAACAAAAGTAATCTAGATGTTGAATCTTTTTAAACCTTCCACTATTCTTGACAGACAGACGGACAGACGATCGATCGATAGCTCACCATGTATGCTTAAATCGACATAATATGATATCCACATATAGCTAGGCAAGGTGTATCCGATTCCAGCCAATCCGAACAGAGTATTCACATAATGTACAGTGTGTGAAATATCAATAACACATGCAAGATCGTTAGTTTATTTAAAGTGCCCGATAAACTATAAAATGCGCATGCGTCCAGGTGTTGATAAACTATAAATAGCGAAAATCCAGGGTTTGTCACCACAAGGTAAGCCAGGACGTGTTGAGAGAACAGCTAGCGTTGATATTGAATTTATATGTAGCCAGATAAATTCCTTATTGAAATTACATATGGTTATTAGCAATACTTTGTAGGTGCTAAATAATAAAATATTTAGAGTATATATGAGAGAAATTGGTCATTTCGAACCTGTTGAAAAGTTTGTGGCTCTCGGCTACACCGGGGAATTTACTTCCATGAGTACACACATAAATGTGAGGTTCCCCAACTAGCAGTGGCGTAGGAACAATGTACGCCAAAACGCCAATGCGTAGTGTTGAAAAGTGAGAATAAAAGACTTTTTAATTTTCCTATGTTCTTTAGTCATATTTTCTCATTGTTCATAAATTGTACAAGTAATCTCGAGC